TTTGAGGGAAAATATAGTTTTGGAAGGTAGATTTTTTGTTATAAATTCTCAGCCGCTTGGTAAGTAGCGGATTACTTTGAGAGTTGTAAGCGTTGGTTGTCATTTTTCAAACAAGAGCGAAGTGTGGTGACCGCGCTTTGTGGCACGACTTCAGCGTCCACTTTGTTCGATGTCGAATGGTGGAAGCCATCTATTGCTACAACCTTCATTTATGAGAATTTATTCAACGGTCCTCTAGCTTAGACAAATGACATGGAATATTCAGCAGTACTTGCTTCATACGTGTTTGAAATCACTGAACATATCACCTTGTTATTTATTCTGTTACTTCTTTTTATTCTCTTTGACTGCTGCATTGTATTTTTACGTGAATAACTGATACCTTATGTTGGATAGATTTAAGAAAATCCTTAGAAAAGTGTAAGTAAGGGAAAGTGGTATATCATTTTGCAATGAGGCTACTAGATTACACGTGTCTACATAAGCATACTACATAAATTATATGGATATGTAAACCTATCGCTGGTTACATTAGAAATGTCACTTATAGTAGTCCTGTACAAACTGCAACAGGCTTAAGAAATAGCAGGTAGAGGAACAAGTTTCATTTATGTTATGAGTTGACCACATCTTCACCTACTAACAGATGTATGAAACTATCATCCTCATCACTGACAAACAATCTTCTTTACACCAAAGTTAAGTTTATTTCACTCCGGATGTTCCTTAATAATATCGAAAGCTATGTATATAAATACCTCGAGTAAAATGAATGTGTGTAATCATATTTCCCCCACTGTTTCAGAACGACGACAGTGTTGTTCGGGAACATCTGATATCGATACTCCTCAGCACACTCACTATGTATGATACTCTTGAGAAAATCTCGAAAAAAATGTAATGGTAGCCTATGTGTGTTAAACGAAAAAGAATTTGAATATAAAGATGATATATTGCTATGCGATAACCTGTGCCTATACTCATCTCTGACGATGGACGCTGCTCCTCACCACAAAGAATGGCTGGATTAGTCGGAGATGTCGTCAGTTTATAAAATAGCATATCAGAATGAAGGACATTTTTGTCAGTTGATGTCTAGTTATTACATTCAATCCAATAGCTTAACACTCTGCTGGATACAACATAAAATTTAAGATAGTGATCATAATACTATGACTTTTTGTGTTCTGCTGAAATGGTAACAGAAAGTCTTTCAATTGTAGTGCTACGTGTGTGACTTGTTTTTCCGTTTTCATCATCTCCATTACTCTTAACCTGTCTCCTCTATCTTCATATCTTGACAACGTTGTACTATTTTTTTGTGCTCTGCACTTTTTCTTGCTTATGTTTCCATTAGATTTATGTTTCTCAATTAGGAAAGTGAAGAGAAAAGAAAATTAAAGTTTTTGAATGGAATTAACTTTTTGCCAGTTGCTTTATTTCCGTGTTTACATAGGACATTGAATTTTTATACAGTAATTGACCACTGGAGAACAACCAATCTCCTGTTGTCTAATCCTGAATGCTGGTCGAATTCTATCGATCACTTTGCAATTTGGCCACCAAGCTTAGAAGACCCACAGTTATCATTACAAGATGATTGGTAGGATTCAGCGAGCACTTAGGACTAGACACCTTATGAGATTAGTTTCTCTCCAGTGACTAATCAATGTATGTAATCCAGTCTTAAAGAAGGTCAGTCGGTGCCTGAATGACCCAGTGGTAACGTCGCTGACTGTAACTTTTGATGACACGGGTTCGAATCTCAAGGGGGACATCGGTTGCAGATATGCTTTGCATAAGACCTAGGTCCAATGCTTCCTGCCGATTGCCTTCAATCGACTGACATACAAAGTGTCAGGATTCAGTAATTAGTTCTGATAGATAAAAGTTTCTAAAAATAGTTTCCTGTCGTTTAATCTGACTGTTCACGATAACCCTTGTTTGAACAATTTCGATATTTTTGTGCAAGTTTCAATTCAGCTTAAAAAGATTATCTGAATGGTGAGTGATTGTACCTAAACCATTTGCATTGTACCTGTCTATCTCTGTGAAACAACCTTTCCGATATAGATGTAACTTCTATTGCATGAATACCTCAACATTAACAACTTTTATTTTATCTCATCTGTAAACACTTACCTGTTTACTGGTCTCGTCGTTTTTTTACCGTACACTCAGGAGAACTATGTCCTGTAATTCGTATAACCTAGATTAATTACCCTAACCATGGACTACATGGAAATTGAATACTTAACAAAATGCCTCTTACATATATGCATAAAATTCTATGTACATTTTATTCATGTGAAGCATTTTATTCTTCTTATATTATCTAGGTGCAAATTATTCTCATTAATTATTATCCTATTCTTCAGTCCTATAGAATAAGATAAGAGAGTTAAAGACGCCTTTCTTCATAAACCTTTTTATTCTGTAATCATGATTCTTCTGTAGAAACAAAATTTGTAAATTAACTGACATTATCATTTTTCTAGGCTGTTAGAGAATGTCTCTTCCTGACAGCCTTCGTAGGAAGTGTAGTACTAGTCAGGTTATAGTTGAACAGCATCATGCTAACCTGTATACATCATTGTTTATAAAGGTGTATTCAGACTAAATTTTAGACATCTTTATCTAAAGGCAATTTCGAAAGTAAAAAGTTTGGACAGAAGTAAAAAAAATTGAACACTGATTTGTTCATCTCGTTTTGGAAATCATTTCGTAGAAGACACTACTAAGCTGAGTGCAAAATGATTCTCATTCATCACTGACTTCAATTATGTTTATTTCATAAAATACCTTATCTGGTGGCTGTCAATTTCTGTATGGGTATAGTGAGACTGCCCCGTCTATCTCTCTCTTTTTCCCACTTCGACTTCTATGAAAACTAGTAATGACGACGATGACAACAACAACAGAGCTCCTGTGTTTATGTTTATGCAAGGAAGGCAGGAAAGTGTTTCACTGTTGTGATTTAATTGTAAATCTATATCATTGTATAGACAGCAGGAACACCTTTTCTACAGATCCCCAACCGTTCAAAACCTAGTTTCAAAGCATCCTGTCTAAGTTCTCCCATCATCTTTCATACTTCAGCAAATTCAGTTTGTACTAGTTAAATTTGTCATCAAATGTGTATAAACTTGAGTTACTATGACTTGAATGCTATCACTACTTATCTAATCATTTTAAATAATAATTATCTTTCTTAGACGTATCTCTGTTGTCCGTGGTGTGGTACGCCAATGGGATGGAACTGTATTTGGGGCTGCCGGGTATCCGACCGGGCGAATATGCAAAATGGATATACCCTGACTGATAAGAATGGAAGGTGAGTGATATATATATACGTTACGTCAGTCTAGTTCTCATTGTCGACCTAGTTCGATATTCAGATTTGTGGTTTGACCTCTAAGCTGAGTGAGTAAACATTACAGCGTATCACTTTGAATGTTAAATGACTGAAAAATAGTTGGGAGTTTGAACAATTATATTATTTTTAATCACTGCTCTTTATGGTGTGTTTAAATCGCTGACTAATTTCATTGAGTCACTCTGCTGGGGAATACTAAAATACAGGAGTTGTATGTCTGAAGTATTTATATCGCTTGTGTCCAACCTCTTACTATGTATACGCATATCTGATGATTGATATGATGGTGGAGATATAACTTATCACCTCACGGATTTCATGAACAACCCACCGGTTGTGACTTTTACAAATCACTTCTTGGAAATGTATTGTACATTATATGTTGGCTAGGACTATATGTATGAGTGATCAAAATGAAAGAGTAATAAAACCTTCAGAAAAATCACAAAATTTTATGAGCTTTACGGATTTAGCAATCCAAAAATATTAATTACACACTCAAATTGAACTATGTTTAGTGAACCACGCGGATTCATGGTGTTTTTCTCGAAGGTACGGTCGATGATTCAACAGGTTTCCTCAACTGTGACCAAGACAACAGCCAAGAATAATATGCTTCTCTCGTTCGAGACTTTGATCACGTGTATAGCCAATGCATGCCGTCAATTTGAATCGATTATTTCCTGTGTTGTATTCATTTAAACAGAAAGATTGGAAGTTTTAGACATTGATGTCATGTATGACCTAGCTAAAAATCAATTTCACATTCCCCTAGGATTATCTGTAAATTTCCATTGTTATGCATTCATAAATTTTCAGTTCTTCCCTCTCCAATAACTTAGAAACATACTTAAATATTGTTAAACCTACTTGAAAGCTTTGATAGAATAACTGTAAAACCTATGAATTTCTTTCTAAAATGGCGAAATCATTTATCACATTATATGTGTCTATTCACTGACTGGATGCTATCTTCTTAGGCGTAATGTGAATTCAGTGAAAAATGTCTGATTTTTCACAGCAGATAGAAAAATTAAATAACTCAATCTATTTCTATCTTTCCTTCTTGGAAAAACCCAGTTAACCTGATTTATGCGTCTAAAAAAGTATGATTTCTCATCCCTAATATCCTAATATATATATATATATATATATATATATATATATATATATATATATATATATATATATATTCAAGTGGCTTACTTGTTCCATTTTCTATGATAATATCGACTATATTATTATAGTAGTATAGGAGGGTGATTTAATTCTTTGGATAGATTTATTCTTCACTATGGCTCTCTTACTCTTCCCCATCTCCCTTCTTCCGTCTTCTAATTCCTCCGTCTTCAAAATTTCCCGTAATAGATGGTATGTATAGATCCAGCTTCCTGTTCTGTTTGTATGATCCAACTCATTCGCTTGTATGAACGCGTATTTCCTTGTGTCTATTTCTCTCTTTCAAATTGGTCCTTTTTTAAGAATTTTCTTTTTTTTTTCACCTATTTCCTACAGATTTGACTTACCAGTTGACGGGGGACAATTGTTCAGCTAGAATTTCTACGTTATCCAACTGATCAGTTTTCAGCTACACACAATCTCTATGTACCTGTTAATCAAATAGTCTATATGGGTGACTTTTATATGTATGATTCTAAACAACTGACAACTCACCAATTTTCAAGCTATAGTGTTAGCAATAGTCTTGTCTCATTGTCTAATTCATTTCTTAGTAGTGGTGGCGATACTGGAGGGACTCTCGGTCCGTCACCAATACACAGTGATCTATGGATTATGAAGAGTATTATGCCGAAATTATCCGATAAAAATATGATTTCAGAGAAATTATGTGCAAGTGGACATATACATGACATAGTTACTCTTGGTGGACCTTATGTACAAATCAACTCGTTGATGGATATTTCAAGTGTTTGTTTAGATAAACAAGGTGTTGTTTGTGTCAGAAATGGAGTACTGGTGTATAGCATCCCAATAAAGGTAAGTTCCGCCTGATTTCTTACAGTTTGGGAAACTCCTTGGAGCATAAAGAGCAAAAACGCATGGAGAAGTAATTGAATGCCCTTCATATCCTGAGGCAGTCAGAGATTTTCTATTTTGTGCACTGTTATTCAATAACTCTGTTGTAACTAAACCTAATTTCGCGCTTGAATTCTGTTTTGTGCTTCTGATGGGTTCTATGCTTTAGTTCACTTTGTATCCTGACTTTTTTTGATGGTGACACATATTTCACTAAAGAGAACTCGAATCGCTGTTTTTAAGAACAATGTAATGTATTACTTTTTATGAATATACCTGTAATTCTCTGTTGTTTACTGGACCCAATTTTCGAGCTCTATTGGCACATTGGTTCCTACGAGGATGCCTCGATATTGCCTGAATGTTAATTATGGTAATCTACTTGGTTGTGGCTACTAGAAGAATCCAGTACGCGCGTTTCGTTCTATTTGGGACTTGTCTGCACCCCAGTGAATGATGTTGGTCCCACTGAAACTCGAACCTCGTACCCATCGAATAATTTGATCCAGTAAAACAAAGGAGATGACTATCGTGCCTCCATGGCTTAGTGGATAACGCCTTGGCGTTTGAAGCAATGGCTATGAGATTCAAGTCTCCGTGCAAATAACACTCACTAGGATGCAGACACATCCAACTGATGGGTCCCGGACTGGACGAAACGTCCATCCTGGGTTTTTCTGTTAGCCCCAACCAAGTAAACCATCATAACTTAATGTATCGCTTGTAATCTAACTTAGACACCTTGATCTCAATGTAGCCTTCCTAATATGATTTACGAACCTTTAACCACAAAAAACATCATATTAAGCCTAGAAATACATTTTAAGACGCATTGGTGACAGATTCTGGAAACGAAAGTTTAAATGAAGTCAATCAATAATTACAACAACTGAATGGTACTGAGTGTTTTCGCTGGTCAGACCGTCGTTTAACCAGATTTGTTTGCCTGATCTATCTACTTAATAAATATTCAATAGCATGTTTAATTTCATTAAATTATCTCACGTCACACAGGATACACAACTGCGTCTGATATATCGTTCTGATCGAACTTCTGGTTACAAACCTGGCATATTAGTTCATTTACTTGCGTCAAATCGCGCTCCTCCGTTGAACCTGAGAGAAATTCATCTTGTGATCGATATAGCTGGCCAACGTCATGTGAAAATTCTAGAACCAGAACCTGGTTTATCAAGTACTTTCTACTGGAATAAAACAGACGGTTACAATCGATCTGTTTATGGTTTGATTGATACTAAAGGTGGGTGGATATCTGAGATTATTCACATAAACTGATGTTTAACCTAAGTCCATCTTATGAAATGGAAGCAGCGAAGGAGGTTGAACATGCGCTTTGCATGATTTATTTGAGTGTGTATATTTATGTTCATTTTTTTTGCATTAACTCTTTATGTTAGTGGTAAAATTATAGATAGCCAAATTTTTATATCTTACTGAAAACTCGTTTGACTGTAAAAATTTTGATGGTGTTTGAAGTTAACAGTTTTTCGTGAATGCTTTAATTACCATCACAGTTTTCAGTTCAAATCTCCTTTCATACATCTTCATCGTAGCTTCAAATTGAACCACAGAAATAGTTGTCATTACCTCATCCTATCATCAGCTGGTACATTTTGTGTGCTGATATACTTTTGTGAAGATATTTGCCGTCAGAATCCACTCCACCTATTGCTCAATTCATTGGAATGAGAAAAGCGATATTACGGAGTTAGGTATATTGTGAGATGCATTATTTATAATATTTCCCGTTATTAGTATATCCACAGGTGACCTTAACAATTTGAGAGCATTCTAAATGACTTTCTCAAATGTACCCAATCAAACAATCATGCATGTAATCAAGTGACTTTCTGGTATTCTTTGGATTATCTGATTGGTTCTAAATGATTTCAGCTTTTGGTGGCTTTCTCAAGAAGCCTATGGAGTGGGTATTTTGCATCCTAACGATTCCATAAACTAAGTGTCCTGTGTTGATAAGGCCGATTATGCTCAAGAAATAAGTAAATGCCGCGATAAATTTTGTCACTAAAGTCATCATTATTACTGTTAATGTTACTGCTAAACAATATCAACTGAAGTATAAATTTTCTTTAGGAAGTTCCTCAATGAATACATTGTTCATCAAATATCATTGACGGTATCACTATGGCAATAAATCTACTCAATAGTAAAAGTTACGAATTGGTCAATTTTGACCAATGAAATCCCCACTACAACAATGACTATGATTACCTCCATTTTCAAAACTGCTTCATTTATTCACTGACTAACTAACATTTCTCATTTGCATGTGTACACCCGAAGTTTAACCATAACAAAATGAAACCGCTTGTAATTTAATAATGACTGTCTAAAAATGACAAAATGGATCTTGTAACAGAATTACAAGATTTCATTTTTACTGATATCCTTGGAGCTTATACAAAAGAAACAAGAGACGTAGGAAATGAAACAGTGTATGTATTTGAACTGAAAAAGGAAATAAATTCCTCTCAAGCGAATTAATCATCAGAAATCTTTTAACAATAGTGATAATTTCTTGCTACTGGCGCCTTAGAATAAAGGAAAATGTTCAACTACCATCATTTAGTAAGTACGATGAATTCTGTTCAAATTAAAGCTGAGAGATAGGCAGGCAGATAGACATTCCAACTAGGGCGCATTCAGAAAACTTGATTTATAAAATTTCTTGATATATTATAAAATGTCGATTTATCAAGAGAAAAATCTGAGAATATTACTACCACATCTCCCCTCACCACCGGTCAATCTGTGTGTTCTCTATTGAAGATGGCTGTAAGAAGTTTCTAGGAACTTATAGTTTTAAGTTTTTAATTTGTTGACCATTAGACGTAGGATATGTCTTCAACACTGGCGAAGTTTGTGCTCAGTGAGAGACATGAACCTGTCCTAACCGTCGCTGCAATGGAAGACGCCACTATGAAGTTTCTTATAGTGTTCGCATATACTTCAGTTAATTTAACTAATAATCTCTACCACTATCCTTAAATACATTTGATACTAGCATATTATGGCCTTATGTGATTCCCAGTTTCATGTTGCTCCTGGCCTTGGCAACTTCTGCTGGGGCTGACTAAACTTCTGTTTACTAAGGATAATCAATCCTACTGGAATTTAATCACAGGTTGATGGCAGTTTCACTGGTCCTGAGTTATATGACTGTGTTTTATGTAGTTCAGGTTGTTCCCTGTTTCCCCGTCTAAGGTATGCTACCCTTCATAATACAGATGACTTTGTTATCATTGTCGCTATTCAGTGGCCTTGATTACCCTCTCTAATTCACTGAAATGGTTACAACTCTTCTAATGGGTATGAAGAATAAAAACCGAAACTGACAGTTAGGTGAAAAAAATGCTCTATTCTATGAACCGTTAGAAATCAGTGTAGATTTGATAACCACTTATTGATTGATCTATAACTTTCTTTCTCTTCTTCTTACCCTTCTAGTATCTGTTGGTTATGTGTATACAAACTGTCCACGGATATTTTGGGAATATCGAATTGCTCATTTACCTGGTAATGAACTCATTAGTTCAGATTTGGCTAACTGGAATTTAAATATTTTGCATACATACGCAGTCAACCATGGTATTGTCTATCGGTAAGTGGTGTACATATGCATATAGAATCACTTACTTACTTAATGGGCTTTTCCTCTCCCTTTGAAAAGTTTATTCACCCTTTTTGTTGCTAATTTTTGTTGAAATTGTCACAATTTAGGATTAAGCAACCTCCTACATCTAGTAATATTATAAGCGCTTATGACACTACTGTCTGGTATTTTTAGAATAAACCCTAGGTAAATGGAGTAAATTTTATGCCACATACACACACCAAGGATAAGTAACGGAATGTGAAGACTATCCAAGGAAAACTTTATTGTATAACCGGTTTTTTCAGTCACATACTGTTTGTATATCAGCTTGACTATCTGAGATAGCTGTAGTTTGATAGACTTATATTTTTATTAGTAATGAATGATATGGAAATCTAAACAGCGGGAAAATTTGAACCAGTGACCTCCAGCGCACTGCAGACCGAGCTACGAAACCCGACTGCTGACCAGATCTTAATTACACTTTAATCACCAAAGGTTTTCCTCGACTGCTATGCGAATCTATGATACACAAGATTTTATTACCATTAGGTTATTGAAACTCTATTGAATTTCACTTGACTGTACTTTTTTTAATACGAAAACTTTTTATTTCTTAAAGCGGTGATGGTTCCCACCTCTACCTGAAACAAACAGACTGGCATATTAATCCAATTATTGGATTATCTGAACAACGTCGGTTACCGAATGATTGTACTCAGTGTTCAAATGATGATAAACCAGCCCGACAATCGCCTCTACGTAATCCATACTGTTTACTGACCGATTCTCTCGGTAATCTCCTTATCGGAGATGGAGGGTTTTTACGTTGGTTAAATTCAACTAAATCAAATGATGAGTTGAGGTAAGTCATCTAGTGTAGACTCTTTTTATTGTTGTTTGATCGAACACTAGGTGGTTTTCCGTAAATAACAGGAAACTAAAATAAAATCTCCTACGTGTTATGGTAACTTCCATCAGTAGAGTTCACTTGGAACCTTAGCCTTCTTTTGAATTCTTTTAGTGATGTTACCCTATATATATTGGGATCGTTATCTAGATGCATTGTTGACCGAAAAAATCTTACTTTTACTGCTCATAACAGTGTTATTAGTATGGAATGTATCCTGACCAGCAATGGACTGGATGGTTCGGAAAAATTTGGGCCCCAAGTCGTTATGACTCATCATATAAGGTGTATTTTATTTGTTTTATCCCGGAGTAGTATATTAGAACAAATAATAATACAAAATATTTGTTTATTTTGTTATTTTTTATAATATCCTACGTCGGGATAACACAAGTAAAAACACCTTATACGATGAGTGTTGTGAGTAATTATTAAACAGATTTCAAACTTAGTTCCAATCTTGATAATGTTTGATCACTTTTACTAACAATATTTATAATTGAGTTTTGCTCAAACATTGATTTATCATAAAAATTGCTTTGATTGTCATCAAAACTGGTTCCGAATATCGTAAGTGTCAACCCACATGTACATGTATATATGTCAGTTAGTTAGCATCAACGTAGGACATGGTATTACTTTGTAACAGTCCAAGTTGCCACACTACATATTAGAGCATCAAAGTAGATGGTACCAAGTTGAAAGAGATAAATAACAAAGAGAGTGATCGGAAATGGTAGAACGTCGTGAGAACAGAAGATGCGGTAGAAGGGCAAAGCAACAACAAAATTCGGTATGACTCAATATAAAGATACTGCATGAGTGTGTACACACCTCACTGCTCAAACTGACAGTCAGAGACTTCATTGGCTGATGTCGAATTTAGTCTAGTCACCTCCAACCAAACCAAACTTACTTCAGCGAACATTGCATGACGGGGCAGACGGTGACTAAGCATGCGTGTCACAAGACTTTTGAAACGTTGAATAGAATATAAATAAATAATAAGTTAACAGAATCAATTCTATTATTACCTAACTGTCTGAGCCTAAACTTGCCTTTAAGCCAGAAGGGTCTTCTCACTTTCATGGTTCTTGGGATCATTTGATTCATAAAGTATGCTATATCGATACAGATATGATCAAGAAGGCAGCTTTTCACTAATATTTACTGTTGATGCATGTCAACTAACAAATAAACGTTGGGTTTCCGTTTTTCATATCCGAATAATGAAGATCTTCCGTATCATTACCATTTTGGTCACTTTTACAAGGAGTTTAAAGGTTGTGGCAGTTTCTCATGACCACGTCCTATACTAATTGAAGTTTCTAATAGATCTATCCTTCTTCTCTTCCATTCCCCAAGGTTTTCATTTCTATCATCCTCATCTTCATCGTTCGGGATGCCACCACCGAGATCAGACTCACTGAATAGTCATATTCAAGAACAATTGAAACGTAGTGATCGTAGACTATGGGAACTGTTTGGTGATTACAAACTTGACTTTCTTCAGTCCAATTTCGATGAAGACCAACTGACAGGCTATTTCATTACTGCACATTCAAATTATGCTTATCGTACAAATGATTATGCTATGCTTACAACCTTGCTAGGCAATAATGGGAATATTGGTGGATTGGATTTCTCGAATGGATTATTTCTATCGGATACAGGTAGTAAAAGTATTTGGTGGTTGAAAACCACACCGAAATTGTCAGCACATATACTTATTGGTGAGACATGTCCCTTGTCGAACTCTAAATCGGACACTGATTCTGAGTCAACTTCATCATCATCAACATTTAGTAACCAAGAATTTTGCGTGAAACAGAATTTAAAATCTCCTCGAGGAATTGCCGCTACACAAATGGTATGTTTCAACATGTATTCTGTTCGTTTTACTGACTCATTTTTTGTTTGCGTAATTGTTTCGGAGCACTTTGAAGTAGTGTTTTAAAAGCTGTTCAAGCATTGCAGTTAATTTTAAGCAAAATGAGTTTCGTTACAGTACTACCTGGCTAGAACCAGTTTTTCGAAGAAATATGTCTCTGTTGTTAGTTGAAGGTCTACAGTAATCAACTAGGAGCTTTGAACCTAAGTTTCCTACCTTTATTTCATTCAGTCAGCTGATGGGTATTTTAGGGGTTTTACAAAAATACATACTTTACGATTATCACTCAGAGGCGGCAGTCCATAATTCCCTATATAAGCATATTTTACACACCTAATTTTATGCTCACTACATACTTACGGTAGATGCGTTTTACTATATCTGTCTTATGAAATCACTAGTTTTACTGAGTATAGCATTGCTAGATTTCCTGATGAAATCTGAATGTGTTCTTGTGTGAAATGTTTATATTTTTCTGTCGAAAAATTTCGACTAACCCTAACAGAATATGAAAATACAACCTAGTTCGAATACACGAACCCCAAGTTTGAGTTGTTTAATGTTGTCTGGTTAACTAGTCGCCTGGTTAACTAGTTTACTAGTTACTAGCCGGTCCTAAGCCCGGGTAAAGAGGGAAGGTTGGGCATAGGGCTAGCAACCCTACCCCGTAAAACAAATCTAACCGCTAAAGAAACTTCAAAGCACAAACAAAATATAAAAAATGAAAACAAACTTATTCCCCGCTGGAATCGGAGAGGCGAAATGACGCCAGTTGGTGAAAGCCTTCGGGAAGCCAATTCGCCGATGTGTCTTCTCTCCCTAGATGAAAGCGAAAGTAAACGTGGGGACATGGAATGTCCGTACGATGTTTGAACCCAGTAAGGCAGCCCAGATTGCAAAGGAGATGAGAAGGTATCACATCGAAGTGCTTGGGATTTGCGAAAGCAGATGGAATGGGAGTGGACTCTCCAAACTGTCAACTGGAGAATCAATAATCTACCCTGATATTGTCACCCAGACGACAACCACGAGCACAGCACACTGAGTGAGTGGCTATCATGATGTCCTCAAGAGCATCGAAGGCTCTCATGCAGTGGGAACCAATCTCCTCATGCAGGATCATGACAGCAAGATTCAACTCAAAAGGAAGAAAGGTCACAATCATACAGTGTTATGCACCTACAAATAATGCAGAGCAAGAGAAAAAGGAGGAATTCTACAGACAACTTCAATCAACACTGGACAAGACGTCAGTTGGCGATATCAAAATTCTAATGGTGCGACATGAATGCCAAACTGGGAGGGGACAACACGGGAAGAGAACTCATAATGGGTAGAGAGCGCTCGGTGAGGTGATGAACGAGAATGGAGAATTGTTTGCAGAATTCTGCGCATTCAACGATTTGGTGATTGCAGTGAGGCAGTGTGTTCAGGCACAAGGATATCCACAAAGCGACATAGATTTCACCAGATGGACACACAAAATCAAATCGACTTTATCTCAATCTCAAGAAAATGGAGACGCAGTCTACTTGACACAAGGTCAAGAAGAGGAGCAGATGTAGGCTCAGACCACTCACTTCTAGTGCAAGGAACCCTTCCAAATCAAGTTGAAAGCCTTCAAGGAAGCTGGTGATAGACCTCAATTCAAGTACAACACTCGGAAACTGAAGGATGAAACTACAAAGATCTTCAAAGCAGCCATCAAGACAAAATGGGAGACGTCGAGGGACATCCCTGAAGAAACCTGTGTAGAAGAACACTGGAAGTCTTTGAAAGCTATGTGGAAAGAAACCTGCACAGCCGTATTAGGAAGGAAGAAGAAGAGAGACAAGGAATGGATCTCGACGGATACCTGGAAGCTGATAGAGGAGGAGAGGAGGATGGTGAAGCAGAAGATAAACCAGTGCAAGGATGCTCAACGACAAGAGGAACTGAGCACAATGTATAAAACACTGGATAAAGAAGTGAAGAAGAGTGCACGCAAAGACAAACGACACTTCTACGACACACTGGCAAGTGAAGCAGAACAGGCTGCAGGTAAGAGAGACCTGACGACATTGTATCAAATAACCAGGTTGCTATCAGGGAAGAGACCAACACAGATGAAACCAATAAAGATGAAGAAGGAAATTTAATTACAAAAGAAGAGAAACAGAGGAAACGATGGGCCGACCACTTCAAGAAGCTCTTGAATCGACCACCACCACCACCTGCACTTCGTCCAGAAATACCACCTGCAGCCGCTGAATTACAAGTGAACATAAATCCCCCAACGAAAATGGAAGTCCTGAACGCCATAAAGCTACTGAAATGCGGGAAAGCAGCAGGACCAGATGGAATACCGCCAGAAGCACTGAGAACAGATGCAGAGACAACAGCGGACATGCTCACACCACTATTGCAGAAGGTGTGGAAGGAAGAGAAGGTACCTGACGATTGGAAGAAGGGTTACCTTGTCAAACTGCCGAAGAAGGGAGACCTCAGTGCTTGCAAGAACTGGCGCGGAATCACTCTCCTATCCACCCCAAGTAAAATATTAAGCCGCATCATCCTGGAGAGGCTTAAAGACGCACTGGATTCAAAACTGCGACCGGAACAGGCAGGCTTCAGAAAGTACAAATCATGTGCTGACCAAATTGCAACGCTTCGTATCATCATAGAACAGAGCGTAGAATGGCAATCAGCTCTCTACCTCAACTTCATCGACTTTGAGAAGGCCTTTGACAGCGTCGACCGAGAAGTAATTTGGAAACTGCTTCAATACTACGGAGTACCGCAAACCTTTATCCGCCTCATTCAACAACTATATGAAGATGCCACATGCCAAGTAATCCACAATGGGAAGCTCAGTGATGCTTTTGAAGTGAAGACAGGAGTGAAACAAGGTTGCCTACTATCCCCATGATATTCCTTATTGTGGTGGACTGGATCATGCAGCAAACAGTAGGCAGCGAGAAGAGGGGGATACGCTGACTGGACGAGGAAAAGAACCTAGAAGACTTGGATTTCGCCGATGACTTATGCCTAATGTCACATAAACTTGAAGATCTGCAGGCAAAAACTAACAAGTTGACAGAAGAGGCAGCTAAGACGGGACTTCAGGTGAATATAGAGAAGACAGAAGTGATGAAGATACCGCACCACCACCACCACCATCAACAACAACAACAACTCCAATCACCGTCAACGGGAGAAACTTAAAGGAAGTAACCTCCTTCACTTATCTAGGAAGCACTGTTTCAACTACAGGCGGGACGGACGAGGACGTCAAAGTCAGAATCGGAAAAGCAAGACAGGCGTTCATTAGCCTGAAACCAGTGTGGAGATCTTCTGCACTCAGCATGCGGAACAAGATACGGATTTTCAACACCAACGTCAAGTCAGTGCTCTTGTATGGCTCAGAGACTTGGCGCGTCACGAAAGGCATTTCCAATAAACTACAGACATTCATCAACAACTGCTTACGCTCGCTGCTGAAGATCAGATGGCCAGAAAGAATAAGCAACAAGGAACTCTGGGAACGAACCAACCAAGAACCTATCACGCAACAAATATGCAGGAAGAAGTGGAGATGGATTGGCCATGCACTGAGAAGGCCGACTGAGGACATCACGCGTCAGGCCAGTTGCTCGAGTGGAATCCCCATGGGAAGCGACGAGTTGGACGTCCAAGCTGAGGGTGACATGGAGGAGGTCATGCGAGGAGGAAATGAGAGGTTGTGGGCTGTCGTGGACCAGGTTCAAAAGATCTCAGAGAACAGAGGTCACTGGAGGCGTGCTACTGAAGCCCTATGTTCCACTGGGAACCCAAGGGACTAATAATAATAAATAATAATAATGTTGTCTATTTCTCATGCATGGTCACTACTTGAAGTCATGTGTTTTTAAATGGTGATCTACATTATAAGCATTTCTCTTGATTGGTAGTACTATGCAGCATACATCGTGATCATCATACGTCACTGATTGCCAGATGAAATACTTTTTTTCATAATTTTAGACTACTAACAAGTAGGCAGAGTTGTTATTGAGTGAATTTGAGAAGGCTCGAAATGTGAATTTATCGCCTGAGTTGTACGTATGATAATACGTGCACAAAGTAATCCATACACAGATATGCTTTATTAGTTGTTAACTTTCCTTCCAACATCCAGGAAAATGCTGCTGAAAGTGAAACAAAACACCTGTCTTACTTCAGATGATCTAACTTACTGAATTCCGTACACATATGTTACAAGTTTCTTGTATCAATTTTTATGGCATACAGACAAATTTACATCTCAACTTTTTTTCTAGCTCTCCAAATCAATGTTTATATTCAAGAATCATATGCTTCAATATGTTTTTTTGGTTGTAATTTTTGTTACAATGCAAGTTTCAGTAACATAATGGATATTTGTCACAGATATTTAATACAATTCATTGTATCAGTATTAACTTGTCCTATTTATTCACATATTCTCTTTGTTCTATCATAAAATGTAGGAACTGTATTTCATTGACTCTCAGTCTATTTGGTCATTGCCACTGCGTCAAATTGGTGCTAATTTGATTCGATCTACCCGGCTTGTCGTCGGTGGTAATCTTAACAATCCAGGGAGCAAGAAATCACCTACTTCAGCAAATACAACTGACCCAACAGTAACAACAACTTCTACTCCATCTCCATCAACACCACCTTGTGATCGATCTATGCCAGGTCATCAAATGTTGTTGCATAACCCTAAACACCTAGTGTTTAATCCCTTGGAACAGACATTGTATTTTTCAGATAATAACCATGTAAGTTTTATTTCTCTAGCTTTTAGTAACACAACCAGTTTTTGAAAGTGATTTCGTTTCATTAATCTTCGAATCTCAATCCTTAGACACTTTTCCAATAACGCATATACTCAGCTAACCAGGATTTGAAGTGAAACCGTTAACTGCTTAACAGTTATCCTGCGATATTGCTTGTAATTTCTCGCGCGTACATCCAACTGACTAGTCCCAAATGAGATGAAACACACGTCGTGGATTCCACTGCTAGCCGTTATCCATCATTGCTAGTTATTCTATGATTTGAACTAGCGCTCAATATTTAAGAGGCAATGAAGTAATTGATGATGAGATAAAGAAAATAGATGCATCTCAATTTCCATTAAGAAATATACAAATGTGTGTAGTTTATTGACGGGCTAAAGGTTAATGGTAACTCTATAAATGGCAGAAATAATTTTTAATGGTCCATATATTGACGTAAATTGAAAAACTAATGAGGTGTAATAAATTCTGAAAAACAGGGTGGTCTTTGTTTTGGAATTTCTGGCATTAAATATTCCAGTTTGCTGGGAGGTTTTACACGATCCTGATATACCTTTAGCACAACTGCTTTTTTATCTAGATCGTTACAAAGTTTAGTTTATCCTACAGTTTACCACATCTAACCATATACTGTAACTTGTCAGCTGTCGTCGAATATAATTTAAAACTCAAATCATATCTAAATAATCCTAAGGTTTATATGTTTAAATAAAAACTCTCAGATATGTTTGCATCAGAAAGAGGTCATTACTAAACTTTGATTGAATTCATGGTAAAAGCCATGTTAATAACAGCTGAAACTTCCCAGGGTATCGAATACACAAACTCCTTCTTATCATTGCGGAAATGAATCTAGCGACATCTCGTTTACTGACTCGGACATTCACTGGGGATGAACTTAGCTGATGAATCTTTCAAGTGTTTACCTGTTCGATTGGCATTAGATAGAAGCATAGTCGAGTAAACTTGCAACTGAATGTTTTAATCCCGCCTGAATAGTTGATAATGCAAAATTGTAATAGTAGAATAAACTAATTTAATGTCTTTCTTTCAGAATCCTAACTTCTTTATTTATTACAAATATCGCTATGTTTTTCGCAGGTTTATCGTTACCACCTAGTCAGTCAAATGGTGTCATTAGCAGTTGGGCACCTTAATGGTTGTCCTATTAAAACAGATGACTGGAGTTTTGCTCCACTGGCTACACAAGTTGATTTAGAAGAAATTCGTGGTCTCAGCGTCTCACCACAAGGTGATCTGTTCATAGCAGAACCTCGACATATATGGATTCGTCGATCAGCTGATAATCGCTTGTATCCAGTCGCTGGTAATCATTTTAAACAATCAGAGACAGACTCGAGAAATTCGAAGCAGAGTCGTTTCAACAATAATGAAAATGTAATTGATTTAGGATTAGCTAAAGAATTTGTGTTTGACAGTATCAGTAGTATAGCTGCCAGTTTATTTGGTGAATTGTTTGTAGCTGACAATTCACATAACAGGGTAAGTTCTCATGAATTGTAATCTTATGCTTGTAATCTTGATGTGTAATACTCTTACACTTTCATATTTTGTGAATGAATATAATACTATACAGTGGGAGCAGTTGTACATTGTCCAGACTGCAATCACTGAATCCCTCTGTAAAGATGGGCAGATAGACAAGACGAAGTCGAACCCCACATGAAGATTTATCGCTTCAAGCAGACATACTTAATTGCATAGTATAAAAAGATGAAGTGCGCAGAAATAAAGTAGTATTCAAATAAAGAGACAAAAAACAAATCAATACACATTACAAAATGTTCAAAATATTGAAGATCATTGTTGTAACCCCATTGCCGCTTGTTATGACCCTGTTGTCATACATATGGTCGTTCAGTTTCTCGGTAATGGAAAAGACGGTAAGATAACGGGTGTATTGCAGCGTCAAATATATGTGCAAAATACCAGGCTTTGTACATAGTCACAGTGACCTTGACTATTTACAGACCTTTCTGGATTTGAATATCCTATTGATTTGTTGTCTCTTCAACCAATCCGATATTTACCCGTCGGTCCACATGCTTTTCCCGAAACTTTCGGGAAAAATGATTGGTTGAGAAAGGCTCCAGCGAGATCTGACTCATGAAAATTTTGTCAATCTTACGATGTGAGTATGAATAGGTCATTTGCCTTTAACTCTAGTCTCGGCTGGCAGTAAGTAAGCGATTTTACTTCCAGCAAATTGATATATGAATCGACGCAAGGTTTAGGGTTGTAAACAACACTTCCTTGTAAACCCTAATCAGTTAGTAAGAAACTAACATACTGATCAATTATGTGAGTGTTTTAGTTAAATGCAAAAGTTATATCCAGTATGTTCGAAACTAGTAGTGACCAAGTTACTGACTATTTTCAACCGGTTAGGCTGCTAAGCGCGGGTGCTGACTCGCTGTCAGGTTCAACTCAACCGCCAAGCATTATTCTTTAAATAAGGAATTCACAACTGCATTATACCCGAATCTTTAAGTTGGACATATCGGAGATAATCTTATCACAAACCTATCTGTTCTCTCTTTCTATCTCTCCCTCCCCCTCTATCTCCCTTATTCTCTACCTTTCGTAATTTTATGCATGCCTTTTGCCCAAGTTATTTTTATTCATCATGTCAACCGTTCATTTAATGTCTGTCCATCTTTTTTTGTCTGATTTGGCGAAATAAACAAATTTTAAATTAAAATCCCCACTTACCTCTAAATGCATAGAGCTCATTAGTGACATGTGTCCAGATGGATATCCCGAAGTTCTAATGAGAAGCTGTGAACTGTGGGGTCAACCAGTTGGAAAGGAAACGAATGCCAACTGAAGACATTGGGTGATAATCAACCTATATCAGAATCATCAGAAGTAGGAAGCTATGAACCATTGAACTCCGACCCAGTGCCTGAATGGTTAATGCATTCTCCGTGAAGCCCGAAGGTCCTGGGTTCGTTCTGTAGCCGGGTAGTGGGTGCATACTGCTGATGATTCCCATACTAGGACTTAATAGATGTCCAGTGTATCTCCAACTAATGTCAGTTCATGATGATTACTACCTCACTTTTAAAAATGACTTTAGACAAAGGTTGGTTATTCGACCCTGGATGAGGCAATTCTCATATTCAGAGTTAGATCTATCTGAACTGGACACCTGAATCTGCTGCTTATTGATGTGAGAGGAGTCCCTCCGCCCATTTAAATAGATTCAATTCATTGACTCGTTGAATCCCTATCTGTCACTTGGTCAAAACGTTTCAGTAATTCATTTGTACACAACAAAGCGAAAAGTTTCCAGTGCTTAAACCATAAAAATGCAGCCATATTAAACAGAAGTCACTTAATCAAGACATGGTCAAAATGATCACGACAACTTATAGCATGCTAATAGGAATCAACAAAAAACTCAGTTGGGTCATTTAGAGCCATTCTCAGCCAGCTTGTCGAAAGTTGGTTGTGCATACCCTAATTCTGATAACCTTTTCCTCCATTAATTCTGTACAGCTTTTAGCTATCACCTTTACGTCTAGCCTCTACAACCTTTCTTAAAGCATATCTTAGAATTGATACTGGGAGATGATTGAAGGTGAAATGAAAACCTGGGTCGTGACCTCCGAGTTACTGGACCCTATATCAATAATATTAATCTACCAAACAACGGTTATCGCAATTTCATTACTATAGCAGAATTTTTTGTGAATCTAAACTATTGGTACCATTCTATTTGCCGTTAATTATTAATTTGTCATGGTCATGTATAATCTGTAGTTTTGCAAGAACTGATTGTCAGAGAATTGATTCCCCATGGTTGCATTTCTGGCATCTTTCAGGAGTTATTTAATCGTCAGATGAGCACTTTTAAATCCAGGTGTTGGGTACTAGGTAATGGGAATAAGTTAACTGATAACCCTGTTAACGTACGTCAGCTGGTGATAAATCAAAGACTTAATGTTCTGCGTATAAAGCAACGGCACTCCTAAAAGTCCGGTTACTGACTGGATCATGATGAATGAAACTAGTCAGTTTTCCCACCAAGCAACGCACCTACTGAATATTAGTGTGAGTTGTTTGAGGAACTTCAGTAGCATTGATGAGAGTCACCTAGTCACGAAATATCAGCGATTTATGTCAGATTTAAACTCAATAACTCATTTATCCTCGTTCCTTATCCGCTACAGTGTTGATCGACAAACAGTGATACCTCATGAAGATGACAACTGATCTTGAATATAGAGCTAAGTTATGACCAAGGTTAAAAATCGGTCTTCAAATGATCTGATCGATGCTCTGCTGTATTTGTGCTGCAACACTCAACTCATAAATACATTTCACTTTCAGCCTAATTGTCACCTATCATTTAAGTGATTGACATATATTTATTTGGATTTCATGTTCAGCTACTTAGCTTAGACCATCCCTCTAATGATAACAACAATATTCAACACAGTCTGTTTGATACAGTATGGAATCTTCAACATGAAGTAAATTACCAGATTTACTCCCCAAAAAAGTTTTGAAACAAAATGGCGTCTGAATGATATTCATAATAGCACCACCAAAGTAAATAATAATGTGAACCAGCCGGTTTGTGCTAGATTAACATTCGATGATTAGTGGAGATGGTTCATTCAGCCAGTAGAAGAATGTACTATTCAAGATAGGTATCTGAGGTATAGAAATATGATGTATTTTTGCGCATTCAAAAGTCCATTTCCGTGTAACATGACATTTCCCCTTCATTTTGTTATTACTTCGAAAAACGACTTCAGAACATTTTAAAAATTTCCAAGAGTATGTGATAAGTTTAAAGGACATATTTGAAAGATTAAAACAAACTGAAAGGGAGGAGTCCGATATAATATGTATGGTGGAAAATTTCATTAGTAGCCCAAAATCCAAGCAGACCACAGAGAATAAGTGATCAGTTGATTACTACGCACAATAAACGTGCGTAATTAGCATACTTTATTATCTGTCTTATACAAATGAAAAAGAACGAGAAAGAAAAAACAAATTCATGCTTTAGTTTGAATCCAACGTCTCTGAATCACCTTTTCACTCTTCTACTGGCTGTTGTACAAGACGTGACTGCTAACCAGTCTTACTTTAATCGGCAACTATTTCCTTGTTAGTATACTCTTGAATTTATTATTGCACCTTTCATATTGTTACTTTTTTTGTTTTCTGTGCTTCTATTACCATCGTGTACTATCGACAATTTTATCACATTCTTATGCGCACGCAAACAGGTTTATCGTGTACATTATCAATTACCGGAGAAATCGGAGGCAGGTAACACATATCGTGTACTACATTCACAAGCAGAGGAAATTGATTCATTTGGCTCTTACGGTCAGTTGATTTCTACAGAGAGCGCTTCTACTCAAATGGTATCGCACAGATTAGAATACCGTAATAATGAAATAAGTGGTTGGCTTTCTCAAATCCGTGGTGATGATCACAGTATTAAACTGAGTATACATCGTGATACCCATGGAAATCTACTACGCTTACAAACACCGACAGGTCAGTATTTCTCCAAAATATATTAATATAACACTGTTTTGGTTTTTGGAAGTGTATGAAAGTCTATCTAAGTAGACGGAGGATACAGCTCATTAGCTTGACTTCTCTACCTACAAGCAACAAGTTTAGGACTGAAATCATCCTCCACAACGTGCAGAATGGACAATAAGGTAGCACCATAAGCCGTCAACTATTCAGTTTGGCCCATAGCCTTGTAAATATGCCTGTACTAGGTTGAGTTGCTTCATCGAAAAATCCTCAGACTTACGCTTATTACCAACATTATATAGCCTCTTTAAAGCGAATAGAAGCATCTACATTCAGTGACTTCACAGGCAGCTACATACAAGAATTGATCTCCATTGACTGGGTTCACATCAGTGGGAGCAATGAATTAACTGGTTTCTGCAACGAGTTTGAGGATGATTTTCGTTATAAACCCTCAGTATTGTTTGTGAAAAAATTGAAACTAGATAACTTCTAGTGTTAACCTAAGATTTCCCAGCTTTATTCATGCTGAACATTTTATGGGGTCGTAGCCAGAAGGACCATTATGTTCTCTGAAGAGCATATTGCTGTCTAGCCATAGGGAGAAATCTGTGGTAAACACTTCTGTCTGCAAACAGTATAGACGTGTTCTGAGACGCGTATACGTTTCCTGACAATAAATTGCAGTATTACAAGAGTCAGATTACCACATCATCTTCGCTGATTAGTGTCTTATTAATTCATATCACATGATTATGTTTCAAACTATGAACTAACATGTATATATTTTGAAGTCAGTTTGATTTATCACTGTCGAATATTTTCCTGAAAGAAAATTAAGCCTATTTTCTTAGAATATCAGAAATTTTGTTTTTAAAATTATTTATTACGTGTTTATTTTCCAACTGAACTTATTCTAAATAACTTATCCACTTTGAACATTCTTTTCATTTGAAAATGATAAAGATAGTTATCTACTTGTTGATATGCTTATAATTTTCCACTGCTTTTCTGGATCACATTGTTTGGCCTCTATTGGCATATGGGTTCCTATGCGGATGCCCCGATATTGCCTGAATACTTTATATATATATATATATATATATATATATATATATATATATATATATATATACGGTTGTACTATGTTATTATTACCACGTTATATTTATATATTTGTTTATTACTCGGTTGTGGTTAGCAGAGGAATCCAGGACGTGCGTTTCATCCTATTTGGGACTCGTCAGCTTTATATACTTGCACCCCAGGGAATGATGTTGTTCCTACTGAGACTCGAACCTCGTACTCATCTGTTCAAACAACAAACCGTTGTCCAGTAGGTCAATGAAGCACGATAGTCACCTTTTGTACAAGTTAATTATCATAATAAATATTCAGGCAATATCGAGGCATCTCCATGGGAGCCCTTATACCAAAAGAGATCGAACAATTCAATCCAGTAAAACAACGGAGAATTTTAAGCGTATCAACAAATAGTAATAACTAATACCCATTGTACAAGAGATGTCTATCGTGCCTCAGCAGCCTAGTGGATAACGCTTTGGCGTTTAAAGCGATGGGTACGAGGTCTCAGTCTCAATAAGAATAATATCACCCACTTGGATGCAGGCACACCCAGCTGACGAGTCCCAAATAGGACGAAACTTGTGTTCCAGATTCCTCTGTTCGCCAAAATCAAGTAGATTGTCATAGTTATCTACACTGATGAGGCACTAGATGATATTTTCTTGCGCTACTTCCTGGTCATAGTTCTTCTTTCAAGTTCTCAGTGTGACCATCAAGTTAGGTGGCATGATATCTTCATCCATGCTGTTTTAATACTGGATGTCTGAGATCACTGGGCGAGATTCATATGCCCAAGTTTAACGCTTGTTGTAAATCATCATTAGATGCATCTTCAACCTCAAGAACTGATGTTTCCTTAGTGATGCGAAATTATATCATTCAATGTTTCAGTCAGAAACATCACTACAGAGCTATTCGGGTTGCCGCTAACGTGCTATATGACTGGGTTAGATACTGTGGGAGTCGCTCTTTCGAAGCATCTAACATCGTGGTAATGTCTAGCTACTTACCTTTTACGCCACTTTACAAACTTGATGAACTGGACTGAATTGGTACACTACCTGCTGACTCATTTCTGCAACTAGTCTACTTTTGTGGGAGATCAGTTATGATCCGAATAGATCCGTGAGGATGTCTCTGACTGTAGCCCTATAAGGCAAAGGCTTCATTGATTTCCCGCTTCCATTCGGACTTCGGATATGCCTTGCTGATAAACGCGGAAGAGAATGAAACCTAGGTACAAAAACTTTTGTAGTCACATAACACTGGTTTTAGGATGTTTGACGACCTTCTTCAAATCATCATCCGTTATTTTGTCTAAAAATTATCATGAGACGTACTGAAACGGAACTTTAGTTCCATCTCTAAAATGTCTAATTCCTTAACCATGTAAGCAAGAAGTTAAATGGATTTTTCCAAGATCACCTGATCAAGACATAGATACGTTGACTTGAATTAAAAATGAATCAAGGCGACAAACACTTGATTTCACTAACTATACAAGATTGACATTATAAGTCCATTTCACCTTCAAATGCCTCCTAATGATATAATCTCTAACTTTTCGTAATGGTGCATCTGTCTCATTGACTTGAGTCATTAGTGTAAAGCTTAGATCATTGCTCTATTCAACAGAACTCATTACTCTCGTGTTCATTTTGCATAAAATCCCCCATACAGCAACAGTATAGTGTTTGAAGTTAGCTATAATTAACGTCTAACGCTTAGATTTGCATAATGTATTGTTCTGCTGATTGACAAAATGAACAATTCAGTCGACTCCAAAACCTCATAGCTTTGTACAAATCTGAAGTTTTTCGCTATGAGTCCTTTGTTCTTCGATAAACAATGAAATAGCTTTGATAGGCGTTATTTTGTATTTCAAAAAAGACACTTTCTAGCATATTGTAATGATAATTCGAAGAGAGAATTTACAAAGTCAGATAATTTCAGCTACATATTATTGTTATTATAAGTTGAATACTTTTTCTCTATTCATTCAAATGCACGCTCACTCAAGCGAATCGCCAATAGAAGGTGACATTACTTTTTTGAGCTGATAGAATTAAATCTACTTACTTTAGTGTTAAAACCAAAAAAAAGAATCCAGTCATTTGCTGGCAATATAAATAGTATAGAAACAGGAAGATAATTGAACTATTCAATAAATGTAATGTATCCTCATGATGATGAGCATATCATTTTGATGCATGCCTTGCGTAAAAGTTACTGTAAGCTGTTAAAAGATTTTAACGGTAACCAACAAAAAGATGATACCATGCCAGAAAAATATAATTTTGTTATAACATTTGTCGTTTAATCGATCTTATAACCACATGCAATAAACTATAGGAAATGAACTTGAAACCACGCATCCCAACCCACTTATTTGGTATTTTGCAGCTGCTGTTTAGCCACTTAGGAAGTAACCAGTGATGATAACACTATCCTGTCATTAGAAGACTGTGATTATAACCTCTCCTGTTAGCACTTTTTCGTTTATGATCTTATATGTCTCTTAAAACATTGGAGCGTAATCATTGTATCGTTCACTATTTTGTCTCTGAACTATGATAGTGTAAATATTTTTCGTTAAAAGTCAGTAATCTTTCTAAACACTGTTACAATCTCGCCAAATATTCTGCATAACCAGGTGAGGAATATCGAATTCATGCAACTTCCAGTGTGAACTTCAACCTCAAACTGACAGCATCTGTGTACCTATCCGTTTTGCAAACTAAAAGCTTGAGGTACTCACCAATCTTGCACCAGTTGTTTTAGTTGTTTAGTTAATAATCATCGATCTGCCAAAAGAAGCCAAGCATATTCTAAGCAACTTCAAAGGTTCGACACTGTTAAGCTTCCTTTGCATCGTGCTACCAATACAGTTCCAAAATTTCCATACTGAAAGTGTGCACATTATGAGGCGAATGTATGGTGGTGAACACCTGTAGCTAAATATGCTAATGTATGCTAATGAACACTTTAAAAGCGTATCTAGAGTGAATTAACTTATTTTTAGCATCAATTATCGGGCTGTAGTATAGTTTCATACTGATAAGAACTCACCTTCTCATGTGATCATTGTTTTGAATTCAATTAATTGTAAAGATATTGCGTTTGTCTTTTTTAAAGTTTGCTTTTTAAAGCATAATTCATGTGACAACCATAGAAGTTTTCATATTTGCGAGCCTTATGAAAATACAGTTACTGAGCTCTTTATCTTGCTAAACTCTATTTGCTTCGTAATCGTAGTATGTGAAACTGAACAGCAGATTCATTCGACAATCCTAAAATTATTCAGAAGAGATAATAATGTGCGTTTGCTATAACCTCATTCTTATGGCTATATTTCAAGCTGTGAATTCCTTTGTCAAGAAGACTAGTATTGACTGATGTTTCTATGTCACAGCTTATAGTCAGTTTTGCCACATCCAGATTGCTTGACTTTTATATTTCACCTAGTTAATAAAGTCAATTTTATAAATTTTAGGTCGTCTATACAATGTGACGCTAGAGCCTGGCTCTGCACAACGTATAAGTACTCTTATTGATCCAATTAATGGTGGCTTATGGCGATTTCACTATTCCCCTGATGGTCTTTTAACTCATGTAAGAAATCCTCAAGATTCAGGATATGTACAGTTTCACTATGCTGCTAAATCAGGTCGCCTGTTGTACATCACATATCCAAATGATAAGTCGGTCGATGTGACTCGCACAGTTCGAAATCAAGTCCCTGTGAATATGAGATTTGATACACTGGATGATATAACTAGTCGAGATAATTTACCTATCAGTCTGAGCGATTCATCGAATCCATCTGAACAGCTGGCTACAGGTGCGTTGACTTTTTCTTATTACCTTTTGTTATTGGGATTTTACGAATTCATGTTCATTATGTTCATTATACAGCAACCTCACTAAAACCCTGTCACTTTCCACCAACGTATATTAACAGAGGACTAACTGCTGATAAGCAGATCAACATAGAACCTCAGATATCTGTACATCGGCTCATATTCATCTAGCATTATGCGTAAGTGAAGCTCGTGAAGAGCTAACCCGAGAAAACCAAGCAGGTTTCAAACCTGGTCGTGGATGTATCGATCAGACCTTCAACTCCGCCAGGTCTCGGAACACACCGGTCCCCAACACTAGCTGTATTTCTTGACTTGAAGATGACATTTGCTTCTGTTGATCCAGAGGTCTTATGACAGTGTCTGTAACAGAAACGAGCGCCAGGTAAATACACGAAGCTCTGGAAGGCTGTGTTATGAAGCTTATTGACGTGTCAGAGCCTATTGTGAGGCACTAGATAAGTTATGTAAGTCCAGTGATGCCCGTCAAGGATATCCACCCTCTCCACTCTTATTTAAATTTGTCATAGACACTTTTATTTTGGTCTCCACGTCCTTGTCTGACTTTTCAGAGATTGGTCTTGCCACAGAAGTCCCCTTAGTAGACCTAAGGTATACAGGTGACACGGTCCTGTTAGGTCAAGATGCAGAGTCTTTTTAAATCAGGAGTGGAAGTCAGATGATTCTTGGGATGGGTTTCTCACCACCCAAATGCAAATTGTTGTTTCAGAACTCGTCTATGTTGTTTCCCCACTTAACAATATAGGATGAAGTGACTGGATCCATCGACCACTTGATTTATTTAGGAAGTTGGATTATTTGTGATATGTCAGTGACCTATGAAATCTCTGCAGTGGTGTTGAAGACTTGATTGACTTTTACCAACTTAAACCATCTCTATGCAGCAGCTCTCTCTGTTCTACTCTGACTTTCAGGTTTTGTCAAAAATGATAGGGCACACGAGAAGGTTGTAAACGTCCCACCACCGTTGATAGCGCATAAGTGAGGCGTAGAGTTCTAAGTAAAAGATTTAAGTCAGTTGATCAAGTTGAAAACCTTGATCGACTCAGATTCCTGGGACGTGTGACACGCATACCTCGTTGTGAACTGTTGTCTGAAGTAGGTTTAGGCTGGAAAAGGTTGGAGGCGCCCAAACTAAATTTGGTAACAGTCAATGAAGTCTCTGGCTGTTGGTTTGAGCGGTGAAGTGCATATCCATCCACACAGTATCTTCAAAACAATGGTTATACCGAATTTCGTTATTGTTTTATCCCCTCTCTTTCATCTTCTCTTTTTACGATTTTCCTGCTACTTTTGGTTACTCTCTTTGTTACATACCTCTTTACCAGCTTGGTGCTGTCTACCGTGATGTGCTGATATATGGCGTGGCAAACTGAACTTTTGTGCAATAATGTCAAGTCTTATTTGGATGTTTACTGCCTGAAAGACTGACTAACTGAGTGAATCCAACACGACGTCCACATTTTGAGCTGTTGGCACGTCCCACTATTTTCATGTTTAGATTTCGACATAATATATGAATTAGTTTGGAAAGAAAGTACCTCAGTAAAACTCAGAGTCTCTAACAATTTCTATGGTTGCGTTTTTTCTTAATCTTTACACCAGAAAGTTGTCAGCGAATTCTGTCTCTGTATTTATTTGTTAACTTGTTTTGTTTTTTGTGTTAACACAGTCATTACAATGCAGACAACCGAGTCAAATAAACATGAAATGGAAATAGACTATGGTGATTCAAATAATCTATGGAAAGTTCGTCTAAGCCAGGTTTATCATATTCAAATGGATATGTACAGGCCACTGAAGTTAATTCGACAGATTACAATACCTGGTAATACCATTAGAAATGCCATTGAACATATGTAAGTCTGTTAATTGATTTGTCTCTGATGTTTTTATGTTGTTAGCTTTATTATTCCTATTGTAATGCTGCTCAATTAGGTGATTGACGCTGAAGTAACTGAGAGACATTTATGACAACTTACGCATCCTATCATCCATGTGTATACTATGTGTGTATAAAAAGAGTTCACAGATAGCGATTCAGCTATTGTACTTCACTATCTGAATTCTGAAACTAACCAAGCTAACCAATTATCACCTGTTTTTTTCTGATATCAATTAACATAAAAATATTAAAATACCCTGCTTAGAAATTTCTAAATGGTTATGACACAACGTGTATGGCGCATATAACTTTATTAACTTATAGTATAATCAATCAGTCAGTTAACCACCATAAAACCAAGCTAAATGTCGTTTTTTTTCGGATTTCAACTCATCTTGGTACACCCTAATGACTTATTTTAATACATTATCCAAATCTCACGCAAAGACGTGAGTGAGGTGTAGTGTGACATCGTTAATTTAAAAAAGATGGTATCTCCTTCTCCCGGTAGCACTTTAATTCGTAACATATTAGGCAAATCTAAAAAGAGTACAAATTGAATAATGATTTGTTAATCGGTTACATCTATCAAGTCTCTCAGCAATACAAGAATAGAAGTACTACAATGGATACTATAAACAAAAAGAATTTCAGAGGAATGACGCAATGGACTTATTGCTTCTACCTAATGATAAACAACATCAATGCAAGGAAGTAGATGCATTCATTGGTGTGCATGAATGTTAGTTTGGTAGATAAATAGACAATAAACAATGATCGCTGGAGTGCAAAACCTTGTAGCTCATCGATAATTTACATTTACCAAGGAATTCACTTTGTTAGTTAGTTATTCTAGCACTGAATTCTTCAAAGAGGTAATAGTGGAGACACTGCATCTTCTGGTGTTGGCTACTGACCGAAGAAAGTATATGGATTTTAGTTTCTTTCACCAGCCAGGAATCAATTAATATATCAAATATTAAAAGTTTGTCACAATTCAAACAGTAATTACTCTGATATTAGCTGTTAAAGCATAAAGTTGATCATGATTAAACGTAAAGAAAGTGTGCTATTTGGAAAATGATAAACACGATTAAAAATAACGGAATATACTTGTGCCAACACCTGCAGTTGTAGCGTTGAAACAAGAGGGTATATGAATTTATACCACCGAATTTCCAAATGTTACGGGGTTGACGAAGTAAACTTACAAGTGGCTCGCGCATAACACGGTAGGCAGCTTCTTGAGAAAATGTATGACTGACTGACTGACTGACAAAATCAACGTAGATGGTCTCACGCAGGTAGGTTGGTTTAAGTTGTCGCACTTCACAATAGTATAAAAAGAACAAGTGGATAGAAAAAGAGTCATATCGAAGTAGATGAAGTAGTGTAAGAGAATAAACAATCTGAAGATAACGGTTAGTGCGAATATTCGAGCTTTAGAAGATGTCAAGGAGTGAATACATCTGCCCCCTTGTGACCAATTTCGAGCCATGTCACCATGAGTCCTCAACCACTGATTCCTTTCGTCTGGAGGACCCCAACCAGACATTCTACATCTCTCCTACATGGCTCAGGTCAACAGTAAGAGATTTCAGCGACTGGTCCCATATATTCGTCTGGCCATCTGAACATTCTTTTAACTCAATCCAGTTTCTCTAAGCATGACACATCAAGGTAAGCGGTTGCTGGGCATGCACAGTACATGTCGAAGCCATCTCAGTCGACTAAGGCTCACAACCTCATCAATCGAATTACCTGTCTTGCCTAGTACCCATCCTCTGATCTCAACATTTCTCGCACGATGATTCCACCAAACGCAAGCAATGCTACAAAGGTATCTGTGATCAAAATCCTGTAAACGCTTCATATCTTCCACTCTTAGTGGCCATGCATCACAGCCGTATAACAAGACAGAACGAATTGCAGCACAACATACTCGCCCTTTGATCGACATTAGGATATCTCGTCAGTCGACACAAGTTGGTAAATGCCAAACGGGCCTTCTGTATCTGAGGTGAGATTTCGTCAGCAACTTCCCAAGTAGGTCAGTTGGTTGATATATTCCACCACCTCACTCCTTATCAGACCAATCCTGGAGCATCATCTTACATCTGACAGGTGCGAAATGCATGGTAAACATATTCAGATTTCTGCTCACTGCGTTCAGAAGACCCTCTCTGTATTTTGTCAGCATCTTCGCTTAGCAGTACAATATACAAGACAATCGAATAGCATGAAAAAGAGGGTTAGTTCCAATAAGTTAAGGAGAGCTATACAATTCTCATTTGATAACTATGAGGAACATATTTATTAAACCGACAACTGATTAAGATTATTGTCTATGAATATTGCATAATGTTCTCTTTGTCATTACTGTTAATCAACATTAAATGACAGGTTTCACAAAGTATTCTCATTCTCTCAGCTTTCTTAACCACCACCTTGAATTAAATTATCTACGTTTTTCCAGGAAACTTGTTGAGTTTCATCATTTTCATCTGCGCTATTGTTCTCCGACCTACTTCTTTTACTTCGTTTCAAATTATATCTTCAAGAACATGCCCCATCAGTCTTCTCTTTTTCCATTAGTAATGTTGGATACTCTCGACATTTATGCTGTTCAGAGCCTTCCACTTCTATAAACTTAACAATTGCTACTATTGCATCCTTTTTTCCTGATATGACACATCCTCGAATGACTAACATCGACAGTCATGTCGTTCGCTCTTAGAATCTTTCTTCACGCCCACTTTTATACAAGGATCCTTATAGTTCCTTGCATTTAGATCCCGTGATAAACCTGAATGAGACTCACTACACGAATTCTGTATTGAGGTGAATTTTTCTTTGTACTCAAGCTGTGTTGCAATGTAATAGTGCTGGAAGAATTCTATGTTATTCAGAGGTTTCGTGTATTAGAAAAAAGCTATTTTTTTTTAGTTACAATGAAGGTAATCCAAAGAAAAAGTGAAAAATAGTTCTGCTCAATATTTTGATCGCTTTATCTGAGTTTTCCCTCTCTTATCTTTGATACTAATTGAACCGATATACAGAAATATTTGATGTTGTTTCTCTTTTTTTTGGCTATCATTCTATTTATTTTCCCCATATTTCACCTTTTCTTTATGTTTACGATCTTATAACGACTGTAGTATTCATGCTTATGAGTAAAAGACGCCAGCAGAAAACTCTCTCACATTATTGATAAACCAATGTTCCAACAAAATAAATTGTATGTATGTTATATATCCAAAAGGTGGGTCAGAAGAACAAGGTTTTTACTTCACCCACCTGTTCACATGAGATACTCTAGTGGTGCCTTGCAAAATAAAGTGGATGGTATATTTATGAGAATGCAAAGAGGGAGTGAAAATGTTCCCATATTTTAAGTACGTTCTTTTACTATTAATTGTACGGTGCTAAAGATCGTTTCCCATCCAATTTGATAGTACGCCAACAACACAATACCTGTTCGCTCATATGTAATCAATAAAATGGTATCAATACATATAAAGCAGATGAATGTTTAACAAATCATTTATTTCACCCTTCTTGTTCATTATCGCTTATCCTTATTAACTGATAAGTAGGATTCATATAACTATTGACCACCATGAATGTTATACTGTTATGTAATAAATTTGGCATTGCAAGTATTAATTCATCTGGTTTCATTGAATCACTTGATTAATAAACCAATAAACTGATTATTCATTCACTATGAGAGTCATCTGTAGTGATGTGGCAACTCTGTGTTCAACTATTGTTCCCCTGAACTAATATATCTGTCACCTTGTTAAGAATGAGCCTTATTGACGTATGGCAAAGCTGTGCGAGATTATCACAGGCGCCTTACACGCTAGTTAGGTAAATGTATTGCCTTACTATTTTTTGATGTACTTGTAATTTCCCGTCGTCATACTGGATTGGATTGATCAACCTCTGTTGGCATATGGACTCCTATGCGAATGCCTCAATATTACCTGAATAGTCACTGTTTTTAACTCACTTGGTGGTGACTAGTAGTGGAATGCAGAACGTGGGTTTCACCCGGTTTGGCTTTTCAAGCGATAGGTACTGGACTCGAGTCTCAGTGACAGCACATCACTCGCTGTGGTGCAGATACAACCAGCTGACGATTCCCAAATGAGATGAAACACTGCTAGCCACAACCAAGTAAGTTATAACTGTATTGTCTGTTCATTTACGGTAGTGTCCATCATTTCTCAGATAAATAGCCTAATAAATATCTCGAATATCATTTACTCTACAATATTTTGTAATCATCACTATTGTCAGCGTGTATAATCATCCACTTCTGATAATACATTTTGGAGATAACCTATTCAAAAGTGTATTTTGTATCTAAACTCTTTAAGTCTAGTCACATTTCGGCTTACTCCCTGATAGTAAACATGTGAATTTTAACTCATCATTCACTTCTCAGTGCCTTTGTTATTTCATTACACAGACATTTGAAAGATAATCTTTTCTTTTTCTTTCTCTTTCTCTTTCTGCCCCATCCATCCATATGTTTTTGATGCAGCGATAAATGGACCTATCATTTGAATGATGAAAGTAATCCAAGACTATCAGCTGATAGTTATTCTTCGTCAGGAATAAATATGAATAAAAATCTGCACGCTTATCACTTTTTCAATACTCACTTTCGACGTAGTATTCCAGAACAAAATCATAATCAATCTGCATCAGATTTATTAAGCCGTTCTAAACGTCAGGTGTCCAGTCCTTATTTCAAAAGATTTTCACTTCGATCAGATTATGCAAATACTAACAACAATAATTTTGGTGAAGAAGTGGACTGGCATTATCAGAAGACTTTAGAGGTAAGTGTTATACCAACAGATCCTTAACCATTTTATGCATTTCTTTGACATAAATTTTAGTGGATAAACTAGCGCTATGAGATAAACCAAACCCACAGTTAAGGCGCCCAATGCAATGCTCATCAGATACCCTAAAATGTGTTGGTTGGTCCAGACAGCACGACGGTGGTCATGAAAATCGATAACTGCTAAGAAGTGTGTAACAACTGACTCGCCTAATCAATCAGCCTGAAATGGATGACACTCAAGCGTTGGACCTATATACCGTACTGCTGCTGCAAGCTGGGTCTATGCAAAGTGAGGACAAGCTGCATTTGGTCCAGGCACGGAGTAGTGGTAACAAGTAGGACGGTCTCTGTAGCTAGCGGAAAGCTTCAGGCTAGGTGAAGCAAACACAGGCGCAGATCTTGGTGATAGTAGCGAATATTCAAGTGAGAACCTTGAAGGCCAAAGTGAATAAGGGTTCCATGGGAATTGCAGTTAGCCATGGCTCAGGTGGTTGCTATTCAGTAGCCAATCAATCCATTTGATGAATTAACTGTCTGTATGGTTTCAGTTATCACTGATGGATGATTTATTGCCACGCTTCAAATGGTTGGCTCGATTAAATTATCACTCATTGCTTTATGTATCAGTAGTGGTCTACTACTTACTTTTTTTCGAAAAAATTTATTTCGCGAAATTGTGAAGTTAACCCCAAAAAAATTTATTCTGTACTACGTGGATTTTAACTAATCGGGTCAGATTGCAGACCCAAAGATGATTAACAAGCTACTACTGTAATATCATCTGTAAGTCGACAAAATTACCCATAATTATGCAAATGTATTCACTCTAACATTTTTGAAAGTTGGAACGCTCTCACTAACTTTCTTTTTCTAATCCTCTCTCCTCTCATACACTGCGGTCTACTTTAATGTTCCTCTTTTTCTATTCGCTTGTTCGTTGCATGCTGTCGTTGAGTATGGCAACTTGAACCAATACACTTTTCTGTAAGATTCGACATTGATTTGTATGTCTGTCTGTCATAATTTATATTCATTTTCAATTACAGTAATGAGCCGGTATATAATGTTCATAGGAATTTTTAACCTTATTTTGTTTGGATTGGCTGGTTTCGTAGGTCTCCGTCTAACCTAGATATAAATGACTGATGTCACCCTTTCAGATGTATTGCAGTGAAATGTTTTGAAAAGTCGTATAAAAGCAATACTAGAGTGGTAATTATACCAATGTTCTCTCAAAATTGGTTTGCTCCACTTCTCCTGGAACTTCCTACTCTGTTTATATGTAGCTTAATATTGAATCGTTCATTGACCAGTGGTCGAATATTATACTATTTCACCCGCATGACGCCTAAGAACTAACGCTTATCGAATAAGTTGATTAAAACTGTCAACCAAAGAAATTGACTCCATTAATAAAACGATTAGTAAACTGATTATGCAATATACAGGTTTTCAGTCCTACCACAAAAGATGATATAGGTATGTACTCCAGTAAAAAGTCCTGGAATAAAAAAAAGCCTATAGCGATCAACTTGATTTTTGTGTCACTCTCTGACTAATATAGCCTTATGATCGAAACCACTTGATTTACCTTTATTTTAACCCAATTTTTTTGCCTCTGTTGTTTGCCAGGTGAATGGACAAAATCTCTTGAATGTGAAATTTAATTGGGCATCACAGCTAGAGACGTATCAGCATGCTTCTACTGGACATATCCTCCTACAAATTGTTTATAATGCAAATTTTCAGCCGATGATTTTTAATGCTTCTACGAACTATCTACAGTCAACAGTAACTGGGCCTGAATCATTTCCAATGAAATCAGATTATGATATTAATTATATGCGACCGGCTACGCTGACACTTGCCTATACAAAGTAATCCTTTTTATGATACGAAAATGCATTTCGTTCATAAATAAGCAATCTAGTAGATACATCCGTTGGTGAATTACTGAAGTATACAATAATTGTGGTGGCATTTATAAAGAAACTTGCTTCACGGCTTGTTTCGAATCATTGTGCTATAGACTGCTGACTTGCTAGTCCATAAGCACGACCCCGAGAGCTAGTTGAAAAAAGTTGACTTCATTCATTAGTTGCTTGTCGGATGGGAAAACAGATCCCGGTTTCCAGATAGCAACCGGTGAAACCCTCAGTAGTTGGATTGGAATCGAAATTAGGTTAACAGTTCCAGTCTGTCTGTTAAACTACGGTGTACGGTTAGTCTGAATGGTGTTGGTTCAAATCCATCCAAGACTCCAGGGATCACTGGAATTTGATCTCTATCACCATAGAAGTATCTTTTCCATTTTCTGGCTATTTCTGTAGCCGTTTTTTTTATATAAAAGCAGTCGTACATAATGTATTTTTTCCGAATCACTTCATATTATACATAATAAAGTCTTCAACTGGTGAGAAAATTGCACCGAAAAGTTACGTTTCAACGGAATTGACACTACGCAGCTTGTTCATAAGCTACAGAGGTACACAATTTTAAGTTGTTTTCATTATTTAACCATGTGATATGAGACTGTAGTCCACCTGAATAAGTAATAAGCCAGTGGTGGTTTACGCGTACACTTATGATTAGCATAAAACTTATCTGTATTTCAAATACACCAGGGTTAATTTCGTCTTATCAGATAGGTTGTAGTGAGCAGAACCCTACAGTACATCATCAATCATTTCAGTATCTAAAAGCAATCACATCCCAAATCTTCATAATTTACTGATAGTTTAACTACTAGTGTAAATTTACTGCTGTTCTTTGTTACAACCGAAAAGATTTTTGAGTATTTTTTTTCTTTTTCAAGCATTCGACGTTAAACAACAGGACCGATTCTCTTCATGGATACTTAAAGATGTACTGAGAAAATCTACAAGTTAACTATGCACCCAATTGCAACTAAGTGATACAAAACACACAACTGGGTAATAAGTCTCACAAGTGAGTAACTTCTCTTCCCAAACTGGGAAAAAGGAGCAGACTGGTTGACTTAGAGCATCATACAAGAAAGATACAAGCAGAGAAAACGAAAAGAAGTGGGTGTAGAGTGATAAAACACTCAAGGTTTGGAGAAGGTGATGCTGAAGTGCTTCTGTGTCGCTATAATCGATTTTGAACCGTGCTACCTGGAGTCTTCACCTGTTGATTTATAATATCCCAATCACTTTAGTCTGACAGCCTCCTTGAGAAACAGTGACTGTAATACGTAAGTGCTATGGCATTTAGACTTAGCACTGCTCATTTGGTTGTTCTACTGTGTGGAAATAATCTAAATGGAAAAATCTGTTGGGCAATAAAAGAATAAATCTCAGAAAACATATTAAGAAAAAGGAAAGTCCACAAGACTTCACATCTTGGAAATTTGCAGAACATTTGCTCATGTATCAAGCTGAAAATGTTTTCAGTTGGTGGAAGAGTCGATATCTGATGTGAGGAAGAACGTCTATAGCTCTCTCTATATGTAGTACCTTCGTAGATGAAACTGTCTAAAAAATGTTCCAATGAAATTATAGTCACTCTTTTTGGTGTAAATGCTCCAAAATAAAGACAACCAATATGAATGTAGTCAAATAGAGATCAGAATGAATTCGTAAACTAAGCCAAGCGAAAGATGCACTTGTATCAATACTCGTTGTTTCTATTCTTTATGAAGAAGCTCCACAGATAACTGTAACTAGTATATATCATTGTGGCATGCACTGCTCACTCAAAAACACTTGCATCAACATAGAAACAAATGATTTTCTTGCATTCACGTCAAGAAACTATTCATATCTTTTGTCTTTTCAATACATAATTTATAGGACAGGACATTTGAGTGCAGCTGAATGGGGCAATGCAAGTTATCGGTTTTCGTATGATGCGTCAAATCGATTGAAAGCAGCTGATTTAGGTAGACCTACAGATACTGTATCATTTCAATATGGAAATCCTAATATTCCCTACCAAGTAAGTCCATACCTTTAGATAACATTTATTTTTCTCATGCATGTAACTGAGAATACGAATATTCCTCATGGGTATGTTGTTTCAGCCTTGTCATCTTTGGAGTATATGGTCCCACCCATGTACATGTCATCTTTTATGGCGTCAATTTGTATTTTACTAGACTGCATATGTAAAAGTGCTTTTGATTCCATTCCACCTAGTGAATTTGTGTCTCATAGGTTGAAGCATCTGACTTCTAATCACTGAACCACAAGTTTGAAACCCGTTCTAGCTACTGTAATCTTGTCAGTTAGACAATATCATTAGACATCACACAATGGATTTATGTGCATCATAGCCTTGCAAACGAATCTATAAGTATAGTGTTGCTGCCGACGTGTCCCAAATAGGACGAAATGCGCATCCTGGATTCCACTGTTAGTCACTATCCATCATTACTATAGAACCTATAGGTAGTTGCTGAAATAAAAATAAAAAATGATAGAAATTTCCTCTACCTTCGCACTCAAGCATATATCCTTTCTGGTCATATTCATAAGTAGTCGGAACTCTGTAATTCATACTAGCAAAATAGTCTTCCCATTCTTAAGAAAATTAATCAGGGACTACTGAATCTTATGAATAGAAGAAACATAAGTCCCGTGATTTCTGCATATTTTTATATGAGAATCTCATCGATACATATTGGTACATATTCATCAGCTCAAATTTAGCACATTAGTGAGATTTACATCAGTACCTTACAGACTGATTATTCATACCTTCAGCTGACGAACTCTGAACAAAATGAAACGCCTGTTTTGCATTCTACTTCTAGCCAGTCTATTTATATTAAATTGGAAAAATCTGAAACACCGTATTACGATCTCCTGAGTATGTTGATGTATATTTAGCATATTAGACAGTCTTCACGACGATCACTTCAAATTCATTATTCTGCCTACAAAACTGAAAAATATCTTATCAGAATTAATTTTCTCACTTCAATTGGAACATCTGATTTCATTTTCGACTGCATCAAATACAGTGAACTGCTCCTAACTCAATCAACTTATATACCTCCGAATAGTGAATACTATATCTCAAGTTATACATCAAACAAATTTTATAATTTATGCTACCAGTATTAAAAACATATTGACTGAATTAAACTGCTGGATTAAACGTTTCCATTTTTCTAAAATATAATTCACGTAAGATAACATTAGACAGAAGATGGTGTATATCCTTGTCTGTTTACAATTAATCTTTACTGAGGATAACGAAATTTGGCATTGAATTTCTTAAGTTTTCGATATGCTGATATGTAACATCACCCGTTCAGACTGTATTTTTTCAGTATTTCTTTCGATTTTTCAAATATGTTATTCATCGGATTTTGTTGCAGTAACTTATAGACCGGTGTGTTCTGTTTTACAATCATGATTATAGATACAAAATCTTGGAAGTGAAGAGAACAACCGTGCATTATTACCATATGATTGCCAAAGATTATTTACATCCGTCATTGTTAGCTGCAGTACAGTTAGGCTGAAAAAGTTTTACGCAGCCAAACCATAACGTAGAGGCAGTGCATGAATCCAACGAAACCCTAAGGTCCTGGGTTCTATCCCTGGAGGGGTCGTGTTGCGCACTGCTGCAGACTCCCATACAAGGACCAAACAGCTGCTCAGTGCTCCCAGGTTTCCAATAACTCTTCAACTGATGTCAGTCCATGATATATGCCAACTTGAAATTCCCCATCTGTTAGTCTGGACTACTCAACTTGTGTCCTTGAGTTGCTAGGACTCAATGGTTTGAAACGCTAAATGATATGACTCAAAATCGATTGTAACAATATTCTAAATTCTGAACATCTACATCTCTTAATTCTCCCTGTCTGTGCTGTTGCGAAATACGGCAACTTGAACTGATGTATTTTTATGCCAGGTCCTGCTTTGTTTTGTCATTCTGTCCTTCTTTACGGGGAAATAGATGTTTTGGATACAGACAATGACTTGTATAGAATTTCTCCACTGAAGCGTTTTACGCCGTTAGAAACACAAATGACATAAGATCAGTGCTAAAAATAATCCTAGAAATCCATAACCAACTCAACTAGCTAGGATTCAGCTGATTCGATTACTAGGACATTATAAGCAAATGTCAAACTCGATTGTCTGGTCATATCCTGGCTATCCTGGCAAATGAAGCCTTATTGCTAACCATCTAATAACCATAACTGGTTTTACAATGTTTTGACTTGTGTAGAAGAAAACGTGATTAGCAGTTAGCTCTCCTAGTTATTAACTGGTAGAGGAATAACGTTAGGGTCATTGTTTCATTTCCATAGTAACCTTAATTTCCGACGGACTTCATCGAGCTTTAGTATCAATTAGTTGCTGATAATCTCGATTTCATCCTTGAACCTTTTTCCGTTAGTCCCCAAAGCAGGTACAAAGAGGAACAGTTTAACTGCCCTCCAGCCACCGTTGCATTGCCTGCTATCCAGTTGAATCCTGATTGGAACATTGAGATAGGCCCCCCAACACTTACCAAAGTCGAGAAAGCTGTAGGCAACTTGAAACGAGGAATGGTAACAGGACCAGATGGACTAACTCCTGAGGTATACAAAGATTGTGGTAAGGTGTTTTTAGTCAGGTTAACGGAAGTGGTAACCAGTATATTGTAATCAAATACGATCCCCTACGACCGGTCTAAGTCACTCATTATTCCAGTCTTCAAGAAAGGCGAGAGCCCTCTTGTGATAACCACAGAGGAATCAGCCTGACGAACATAGTGCCTAAGATTCTAGGTTCTATAATCACTAGACGCCTGATTGGAGCTAGGGAACAGCAAGCCCGAGAAAACCAAGCAGGCTTTAGACCCGGCCGCGCCAGGTTCTGGAACACAGGCACCCTTACCGACAAGATGCAGAGTCTTCTGAACACCTTGAGTACCAATTTGAGAATGTTTGCGATGCGTTTCTCACCACCCAAATGCAAATTGTTGCTCCACAATTGGTCTTCAACAGTGCCACGCCCAACAATAAAGACTGTAATGTTTAAGTGTGTCAACCACTTCACTTACCTGGGAAGGGAAGTGGAATCACCAATGATGGCTCAGTTGCCGGTGAAATCTCTCCACGAATACAAAAGGCTCGACTGGCTATCACCAAATTACGCCACCTGTGGCACCGCCGTCATATCCGATTGTCTGCTAAGGGTCGCGTGTACTGGACCTCCACAGCAGTCCGCTCCGTTCTACTGTATGTCTGTGAAACATGACCATTCAAGGTGGAAGACAAGAGAAGGCTGGCTTCAGGTGTTTGACCAACGTTGCCTTCGTAGTATAGGACGTACTCCGTGGTGTCACCACGTGAGTAACGCACAAGTCAGGATCAGGTGTAGAGTTTTAGGGAGAAGAGGTGTGTCGGTTGACGAGGTCGTGAACCTTCATCGACTGAGATGGTTGGGACACACGTTACGTATGCCTAGTCACCGACTGCCTCGTCATACAATGTTGGCCGAAGTAGTTTCAGTCTGGAAAAAGGTTCGAGGCGGCCAGACTAAAACATGCTATCAATGTATGGAGTTCTTGACTGATGATTTGAGTCATGTGGGACGATGTAGATTAGCCGGTTGAGGTCCGCGGGACAAGAGGGACCAGTGGTTGGAGACTCAAGGTGATGGCATGGCTCAGAACCGATGTCAGTGGAGCAGATGTATACACAGATTATCGTCATCATAACGACGCTATACCGAATCTCACCATTTTCCCATTTTGCCTCTCTCTATCTATCTATCTGAGTACTTTATGTCATTTGACTGAATTTTCTTATCTTCATCTTGCACTTCACCACCTTTTTACTCGATGTACTGATATGAGGTGTGGCAACTCGGAGCGTTACACAGTAACCGCTTGGTCCTATTTTGGTGATGATGATGATGATGATGTACAGAGAACAAGATGATGATATTCGAACTTACTTGAAATATTGGCTTTATTCAGTAATTTGACTTGAAACTAATAAGTTCCATTGATTGTTTTAATTACCATTTCGTAAAAAGATGTTTAATTTCGCTTATTTCAAATTTGCAGCCAACAATGGTTTCTGTTAGTGGAGCAGGTCTCTATACCTTGCTTTATTCTGACAGTCCTCTTGGCACTAGTGAATATCAAGAATCTCATTCATCATCTTCACCTCCCACATTTACTCCGACATCAAGCTATACGGGCCTTTCTGGGATAATCACTCCTTCAGGCCTAAGACGTCAATTTAATCGAATTAGTGGAATAAAAGTGAATCGCCTCATGTTCACACCGTGGCCTGATTCCCTGGGGCATGGATATATGAATGGGGTAGTGATATTGGTGAATCGATGAAATTTTCATCTGATACTTCACATTTGCTACGCTTTATTTGGCCAAGCAACTATAGGCGTATATCAATATTTCCTAGACAACATTTCATCGTTTATGATAAAACTTCAATTCGATGGGATTCCAATGGACTTAAACAACCAGTAGACATGTTAACAGCTCCGCTTGTTCAGTTAACTGACAGCGCATCTGGTTTCCGTCTACAATATCAACGTACATTTCAAGGAAGTCTGCTACAGTCTTTACACATAAGTCAACGATTACCTGGTGTGAGAAATGCTCATCCTGATCTCGGTGGGATCTTAAATGCTAAATACACATACGGTTATGATCTAAATATAAATGTAAGTTAACTTCAGGTGAATGTTATATTTTTTTCAAATGTTTCTTTTCGTATCAACTTTTACAAGGACCTTGAGGTGTTGCATGTTTGCTATGTTTGACTAGATCCTGAGTACTGCTGGAAGCGTGCGGGTGGTTGACATTTCCCATCTGCCAACACCGTGGAAACCTATTTCTTCTAAAACTATCTGAAAGAAGAAATGATTTGTGTGACCGCATGGTTCATGGGACATCTGCTTGACATTTGTCACACAGCCTCTTCCGGATTCTTCTTTTGATATATTATTATTCTTATTTATTATTTGTCCCTTGGGTTCCTAGTGCAATATAGGGCTTCTGTAGCACGTCTTCACTCCACTCTCTTCTCTGCAATCTTTCGAACCTGGCTCCACCACTGCCCACAAGCTCTCATTTCCTCCTCGCATGATCTCCTCTATGTTACCCTCAGACGCCCGACTCGTCGCTTCCCATCGGGGTTCCACTCGAGGGTCTGGCCTGGTGCGTGATGTCTCCAGTCGGCCTTCTCAGTGTATGCCCAATCCAATCCATCTCCACTTCCTTCCACCGCATATTTGTTCAGCAATAGGTTCTTGGTTGGTTCGTCGCCAGGCCGGAGTTCCTTGTTGCTTATTCTTATTCTCTCTGGCCATCTGATGTTCAGTAACGAGACAGCGTAGGCAGTTGTTGATGAATGTCTGTAGTTTGTTGGAAATCCCTTTCGTAACGCGCCAAGTCTCTGAACCATACAGGAGCACTGACTTGACTGATGTTGGTGTTGAAAATCCGAATTTTGTCCCACATGCTGAGTGCAGAAGATCTCCACACTGGTTTAAGGCTAATGAACGCCTGTCTTACTGTGCTTCCGATCCTGGCTTCAATGTCCTCGTCTGTGCCACCGCTGCCTGTAGTTGAAACAGTGCTTCCTAGATAGGTGAAGGAGGCTACTTCCTTTAGGTTTATCCCGTTGATGGTGATTGGAGCTTGTTGTTGTTGTTGTTGGTGGTGGTGGTGGTGTTGGTTGGGTATCTTCAACACCTCTGTCTTCGCTACATTCGCTTGAAGTGCCGTCTTCGCTGCCTCACCTCTTCTGCCAACTTGTTAGTTTTCGCCTGCAGATCTTCAAGTTTGTGTGACATTAGATAAAAGTCATTGGGGAAATCCGAATCTTCTAGGATCTTTTCCCCGGTCCAGCCAGCGTATGCCTCTCTTATCGCTCCTCACTGTTTGTTGCATGATCCAGTCGACTACAATCAGGAATATCATGGGTGATAGTAGGCAGCCTTGCCTTACTCCCTCCTGTCTTTGCTTCAAAAGCATCACTGAGCTTCCTATTGTGAACTACTTGACATGTGGCGTCTTCATATAGTTGTTGAATGAGGCTGATAAAGGTTTGTGGTATTCCGTAATATTGAAGCAGTTTCCAAATTACCTCTCGGTCGATGCTGTCAAAGGCCCTCTCAAAGTTGATAAACTTGAGGTAGAGAGTTGACTGTCATTATATACTCTGTTCTATGATGATGCGTAGTGTCGCGTTGCAATTTGGTCTGCACATGATTTGTACTTCCTGAATCCAGCCATCCAGCCTGTTCGAGTCGTAGTTTAGAATCCAGTGCATCCTTTAGTCTCTCCAGGATGATGCTGCCTAATATTTTGCTTGGGGTGGACAGGAGCGAGATTCCGCGCCAGTTCGTGCAAACACTGAGGTCTCCCTTCTTCGGGAGTTTCACAAGGTAACCCTTCTTCCAATCACTAGCCAGGTACCTTTACTTCCTTCCTTGCAAACCTTCTGCAACAGTGGTGTGAGCATGTCCACTGTTGTCTCTGCATCCGTTCTCAGTGCTTTTGGCGGGATTCCATCTGGTCCTGCTGCTTTCCAGGATTTCAGTAGCTTTATGGCGTTCAGGACATCCACTTTTGTTGGAGGATTTATGTTCACTTGTAGTTCTGTGACTGGGCTGCAGGTGGTATTTCTGGACGAAGTGCAGGTGGTGGTGGTGGTGGTCGATTCAAGAGCTTCTTGAAGTGGTCGGCCCATCGTTTCCTTTGTTTCTCTTCTTTCGTAATTAAATTTCCGTCATCATCTTCTATTGGTTTCATCTGTGTTGATCTATTCCCAGACAGTAAGTAGCCTGGTTATTTGATACAATGTTGTCACGTCTCTCCTACCTGCAGCCTGTTCTGCTTCACTTGCCAGTGTTTCGTAGAAGTATCTTTTGTCTTTGCGTGCACTCTTCTTCACTTCTTTGTCCAGTGTAGTGTTTTATACATTGTGCTCAGTTCCTCTTGTCGTTGAGCATCCTTGCACTGGTTCATCTCCTACTTCACCATCACCATCCTCCTCTCACTCCTCTATCAGCTTCCATGTGTCCATCGAGATCCATTCCTTATCTTCTTTCTTCTTCCTTCCTAAAACGGCTGTGCAGGTTTCTTTCCACATCTCTTTCAAAGACTTCCAGTGTTCTTCCACACAGGTCTCTTCAGGGATGTTCCTCGATATCTCCCATTTTGTCTTGATGGCTGGCTGCCATGAAGGATGTCCTTTGTAGTTTCATCCTTCAGTTTCCTAGTGTTGTGCCTGAACTGTGGTCTATCACCAACTTCCTTGAAGGCTTTCAACTTGATTTGGAAGGTAAGTTCCTTGCACTAGACAGTGAGTGGTCTGAGCCTACATCTGCTCCTCTTCCTGCTTGACCTTGTGTCAAGTAGGCTGAGTCTCCATCTCCACTTTCTCCACATTGAGATGAAGTCGATCTGATTTTTAGTGTGGTGTGTCCTGGTGTCTGGTGAAATCCATGTTGGTCGCTTTGTGGATATCCTCGTGCTTGAACACACTGCCTCACTGCAATCACCAAATCGTTGAATGCACAGAATTCTGCAAACAATTCTCCATTCTCGTTCATCACCTCACCGAGCGCTTCTCTACCCATCATGAGTTCTCTTCCTGTGTTGGCATTCATGTCGCCCCACCCATTAGAATTTTGATGTCGCCATCTGATGTGGGGTGATGTCCAGTACTGATTGCAGTTGTCTGTGAAATTCCTCCTTTTTCTCTTGCTCTGCATTATTTGTAGGTGCCTAGTGTAGCATTGTATGATGGTGACCTTCCTTCCTTCCTTCCTTCCTTCCTTCCTTTTGAGTTGAACCTTGCTCTCATGATGGTGGAGGACATTGGTTCCCACTGCATGAGGGAGAGCCTTCGATGCTGTTGGGGACATCATGATAGCCACTCGGAAACTCAGTGTGCTGTGCTCGTGGTTGTCGTCTGGGTGACAATGTAGGAGTAGATTATTGATTCTCCAGTTGACAGTTTAGAGAGTCCACTTCCATTCCATCTGGTTTCGCAAATTCCAAGCACTTCAGTGTGATACCTTCTCATCTCGTTTGCAATCTGGGAAGCTTTACTGGGTTCAAACATGGTGCGGACATTCCATGTCCCCACGTTTACTTTCGCTTTCATCGAGGGAGAGAAGACACATCGGCGAATTGGCTTCCCGAAGGCTTTCACCAACTGGCGTCATTTCGTCTCCGATTCCAGTGAGGAATAATTTTGTTTTGTATTTTATATTTTGTTTGTGCTTTGAAGTTTGTATAACGTTTGTATTGGTTTAATGGGATAGGGTTGTTAGTCCTATGTTCAACTTTCCCTCTTTACCCGGGTTTAGGACCATCTAGTAACTAGTGAACTAGTTAACCAAGCGAGGTTATATATATATATATATATATATATATATATATATATATATGGTTTTTCGAATGCCGGATAAAGAAAACCCATTACGCCAACACCGGAAAACCGTGGGGCACAATGGAGCGGTTATTTTTGCGGCCAAAGTTTTCTAACCGCCCCAGTCCTACAGACAAGGTGCCATCCGTTTGGCACTGCTGGTCATTCAAAGGAACTACCTTACTACTGTCACACCCCATTCAGTTGACAGTACGACTTCGTCTTCAACCTCCCCTTCCCCCCCCCTCCCATCATAGTGTAGCAGTTTACACTACAACTATAACTGCTTTTCGTCTTATCCAACAGACATTTGTGGTATGGTATGACCTAAAGGGAACAGGCGTTCTTGTCAGTGTACCTCATTGGGTCATTGTGATATGCAGGCTCGACGACCACGTCATGGTAGCAGCTGTTAGCCGGGCTGTTGCATGTTAGTTCCTGAAATATCACAACGTATTGTAAAACAGGTTCATTCGAATTCAGCATATAGAAAAACGTCACCAATAGACTTCGATCAGCGCTAAACACTGAGGTCTAGACAACTACATCTACTGGTGTTCGATTCGTGTACACAGTCCGGTCCTAGACGGGGTTAGTCATTGTCTGAATAGCTTAGTGGTTAAGTCTCTCACTTTAACGCCAAGCGATGCAGGTTCAAATCACCGAGAGAACACCAGTTTTTTCATGATTATAGACATGCCTTGCTGATGAGTCCCAACAAGCAAAAAATCTAGCACTAGGTCTTCCTGGCGATTGATTCTCACTATCTGATACCGAAACCGTGATAGATATTTCAATGCAAACAACAACGATATGTTTACAGTTCTTATTACCAGTGAAGTCACACTTAACAAAAATTTATGTTGTTTTTGCTGTTATATGAAATTTTATCTCATATATATTTTACAATCACATGAACCATTCATTGAAACAAAATTTATGTTCAGTAATAGTTTCAAACTGATCTATTTAGTGTTTATGACTCTGTGTAACCCTGGATCCCTTGCTTGTAATATGATATATTTCGGTGTGTTTTTAACTCAGATATATATAGGCACATAATAAAGCACTGTGTCCGTTCACGAGAATAGAAGTGTAGAAATGGATTTGATTGATGATGACGAAATACTCTAGTCTCCCTCTTCATTTGCTAGTGAATCAGCATCTCGCCTTCTGTAAATGGAGTACCCCTAAACTTTGTACAAGAATGAAGACTGTATCTGAGACGAAATCATTTCTGCATTAGTTCAGTTATGAGGTGGAAACATCTATCTCAAATTTATTAACTCGAAGAGTATCTGAATTATAGCTGTTTATCTCTAAAGAAAAAGAGAGGGCTAATTATTATTTGACTCTAGTCTGTTGCCGTGCTCCGAGTATCCTTGAACGAGCATCAGTTATCTTCAGGTCACAGATATGCCCTTATGACAACAATTAAAAAAACACGAGACCTAGGTGCATAGTTTTTTGCCAGTTGCATCTTATTGTCTGGCTTTAAAATCAAGTACCTAGAAATGTCCCACTTGAATTGACGGCTACATTTCAGAATTAACCGACTGAACCTAATGAAGTGAAGCGAAATCCACTCAGCAACCTTGTGCACATTCGTGCAGTTGGCAATGGGCCACAACTCCACAACTGAACCTAGTCTCAGCACTTAAGACTAAAGAAGATATCATCGATTGATACTCACTGACTTGTCAGTTTGTAACAAGTTTGTAAGTGGTAAACGAGTTGTATTACTGTTGATATTGACAGTATTGTTTGCGTCATTAGCTGTTCTTGCTTATCTTTTTCTTCCCCTCTCCATGCTTCACATTCAGCTTGTTAGCATTCATACCTCACTGTTTATCAGACGAAGTAATGAAGATGACTTTAGTAATACTATTCATCCGGATGATAAAACAGTACTGAATGAAGAGTCGTCAATTCGACTGGATTCATTGACTGGTCGTGTAATAACAATGAATGAATTCACTATCAATCATCAATCCTCTTCATTGCATATCACATACAATTTGAAAAATATACAACTTTATCGTCAATGGGATGATCGTCAACGCATTGTGCAATGTGTATTGTATTCGGTAAGAATTGAACTAGCTACCTTTTATTCTGACACTTTATAAGAAATAAGTTGTATTTGTAATTATTCAACTAATCACTGAGCTGTACTGATGAATAGGAAAAACTATGCATAGCCGAGCAGTTCACTCGATGTGTTCCTTGAAAGTACTTAACGGGATAAGGTTATAAGTACCTAGTCATTGTTGCTTTTGTATTATCACTTGTATGTGTGATAAAATCAACAAGTAAACGACGCTTAGATTTGACATAAAAACTTGATCGTGGTGTTTACTGAAAAGACTTGATTATTTCTTCTGATCCCCTTCTGTTGCTTTGTTTTAACTGGAGTAAACTTTGGAACAAAGGACGTCATAGAGTGTGATCAGATGACCTAGCAGTCCTTCGGAAATTCAGTGGGTTTTGGTTTCAGATATCTGTTGAGTGGTCCCTGTCTAATAAGGTTCGAATTTTTAGATAAAATATTATAAAGACTGTCACTTGCTTTAAGAATTGAGCACCTTGTTATTGTAGGTGTATTTCTCTTCCCCTTGTTCTGACTTTGACCTATGAACTATACAGGTGAAAATTTACCAAGTGCAATCGTGATGCAACCGAAAGCCTTATCGAGTCATTTTTCACCCTGTACCCATCTAGCATAAGGTGGTTGTCGTTATTCAGTAGTAGTAGTAGTAGTATTGACGCATTTGAGTCTCAGCTGAAACCACAACCGTGGGTATAACATACATTCCTGTTCACACTGCTGCTAACCGCCATTGAACATAGCGAAAGCTCTGCTTCTTAATTAGATAAGTAGTGAAGTTATATATACCACAGGTAGACTGTTGATACCTTTAGCTATTCATGTAGTCAGTTATATATGGCAGAAGTTGACATCATTTGACTAAAAGGTAAAGATTGAAAATTTCTCGACGTTCACATCTTATTCATTGTTCCTGTTCCACTACTTCTTCATTCATCACTTCAACAAATGGTTTAAGCTAATTGAGGTCTATTTTTGCACCTTCATTGGATAGCTTAATCACTAGTTTGTGACAAACAGGAAGGACTACGGACTAACATCGATTAGAGAACCACTGAAAGCCTGGGAGCATTGGACAGCCGTTTCGTCCTAGTATGGGGCAGTACACACCCACGACTCGACCAGGGGTCGAACTCAGGACCTCCAGGCTTCACTGTAAGCGCGTTAAGCACTCACCCACTAGTCCACAGTTTCCTGCTTCTATTGATTCGCGATATAGCGCGACTATCACCCAGGGTCTTCAGTTGGGATCCGTTTCCTTTCCGACTGGTTGACCCCACAGGTGACGGCTTTTCATCAGAACTTCGGGATATCCATTTGGAAGCACGTCACTAACGAGCTCTATACAGTAATGTATTTAGAGGTTAGTGGGATTTTATGTTCAAGGTAGCAATCACCACAGAGTCCCATACTAGTATGAAACAGCTGTGCAGTGCTCCCACGTTTTCAGTGGTTCTTTAACTAATGTCAGTCCGTGATGAATGCTACCCTAAACATAAAATGCCCATTAACCTCCAAATACAAATAGGAATGAAACTCTTAATTTTAATTCTTGCTATGAAATAATGGAGAATATTTGTAGCTCAGGTGGATAGTTTTGGTTGTATTGTGTTCTCTGAGCTGGGTTGTTGAATCGTGAAGCTTTCATCGTCTTTCTGGACGACATCATCAACACTAACCTCAGTATGCTCTTACTAATAGCTCGACTTTCAGAGGCGAAATTCCCCAATTTTTTTAGAGATAATATAAGCTCAGGTTGAAGAGCCTGGAGTTGACTCTCACTGAATAAAGCTCGTTTTGTTATGAACTGAATAAATTTCACTCTTAAATTTCACCACTGAAACATCAATCTAAATGTCCTACCTACTCTCGATTCGTAGATAATTTGAGTATACACCTCTGGTTATTATTGGATAGAAAAAATGAAACAGCCATCCAATACTTTGTGGTTTATCGTTTGCACTGTTTGTTTTCCCTAGTCTTGTTGTTTATGATGCTTGAGGTCATCAATGGCAGTATACTGATTAGATCACCTCACTCTAACTTTCCTGTCAAGCGATTTATTTACAGAGAATAGTTGTCTGACCTTAATGAACTGGAAGTCAATAAATTCTTAGGTCACATAAATCACTGAATTTCATATCATATTTTTGCTGGATTACAAAAGATTTTATGTCAATAGTTACGCTATACTATTGATAGATAGTGAGCGTCATCCTACACACTCAACAAATGTAATGTGAAAGAAGAAATGTCCGTCCTTCATCATAACCATTGGCAAATAATGATTTTAAGCTTCACACAAGTTCAGCGTTTTAATTATTTGATTGATTTGTTTCTTTGCTTATTGTAATTATTTTTTTACACCTAAAATTTGCATATTTTCGTTTTTTGCTATTTATCAAACAACAGCTTAGCACTAGGCGCGAATTATTATATAATCTTTCACTATTATACCAACCAAATGCACTGCAGGCATTGCAACAACGAGAAGAACGTGAAGGTCAAGTACCCCGATGGATCACATATGTACACGGTCCAGGTGGACGTTTAGAAGCTGTAGATCGTGAAGAAGCTGGTACAAGCTTACAATCACATAGTCAGTTGATTCATAATGCTGAAGGACGCATAGCACATCTGCGTATAGCTACATCAGATCCTCAGTTACCGTTGGGTGAACGATCAGAGTCCGGATCTACAAGTCGTTCAGAGGAACTGCAATTTATCTACGATTCAAGAGGTTTATTAACACGACGAGGGAATTGGCACTACAATTTTGATGATGACGGTTTTCTTATCAAACGGCATTTGCACAACTTTTATATTAATGATCAGTTCGCCTATAATAGTAAAGGATTACTTATATGGGCTGAGCGTACTGTGGATAAGCGTGTTGAATCGTCATCTACTGATAGTTTTCATTCACCATCATCAGAGCAATGGGCTTTAGAAGATGATGCAGGCTTGAAACGGTCCTATTCAGTTCAATTTGTTTATGATTCCCAAGACCGGTTAATAATTGTACGTGATACAGTAGTTGTACGTGATTTAGTCCAATATTTCTATGCTGATCCGAAACATCCTACGCGTCTAACGCATATTTTCAATCATGGTCGATTAAAAACTATTCGACTACTATACGATCCTATACATGGTCATCTTTTCGCCTTGGAGCAATATGACAATGGTGGTCTAAACACAAATAATAATGAGAAAATAAACAATCTGAATCCTAACAATATTCAGTCGTCAATAAATTCATTTGATGATAGTCAGTTCCACCAAGATTCAACTGCCTCAGTTCAGAAACGTGTATTCTTTGTTATCACTAATCATGAAGGTAGTCCGACGGCAGCATTTTCTGAGAATGGAAAAGTAAGTAGGGATATGTAAAATTCTGACTAAGTAATCTGCTTCAGTGTCTATTTATTTTATGAAGGTATTCCATAGCTTTGAATATGAGATTTTCAGGTATAACTACAGTTTTCTATGCGATGTGAATATTAAGCAGTCGTATGGAAGTTAGATGGAAACTAGTTGTTATGATGCATTTGCTACTGATCCATTTCCAATAAAGAACTTGGTACGGTGACCTCAAGAAATGCTTTATCTTTTGGGAAACTGGTGCTTCTTAGTACCCCAAGAAAAAGTGACCTTCCACCATACGAGCAGAAGTGAAGTGTCGAATGCCGTCATACCTCCTCTATCAGCACTCAAATCCATCCTCATCAGTATCAGTCTTCGACTTCGCTCCCTTCCAGGTTTTCTTCTCATTTCTCGATCAAAAATTATACATCATCCCTAGCTTATTCTTACTCTTCAACTCTTGATAACGATTTAAATCCACAGAATAAAATCCCTGATCTCTTGAAACCATGCTCCAAACTACATTTTGGGGCTGTAGGTGTCAAATAGACAACAGGCTTCTTAAGCCAAAACTCTGTCATCTCATGCCATAGATGTATACTGTGTTTTTGAGACAAACATACAACACTCAGTTTTGGCTATGCACTTGACTTTCCTTGGTCAGTGTGGTGAATCTGTAAAGTTTACCCTTAGAGTACTCAAGATCTCCTTGGTTAGTTCCTGCGATCTTGCAATTGCACGCTTGGTATCAAATGCTAGGACAAAAAACACACTGCTCGACTGAATCTCAGTCGACACCTGCGTTTACTTTTTTTTGACTTAATGTAGTAAGGATATAGTAAGGATCCATAAGAAAAATTTCACGCTACTGACTACAATTCATATGAAGTAAACGGTGATATTTATCAAAAACTGAAAGCTAAACATTCAGATGTGATCTCTGTATTGCTTAGCTTCGATACACAAGTTGGGAGGCTAAAACAAGTAGAGATGCACTTAGGTGTTACTGTCACAATCTCACCTAAGCGAACCGATAATGGCAATTATCTGCTTCATATATGCTAAGAAAACTATCTATTTCTCGTTAGCATGAATTTGAGACGTAACGAAGCATCCTCTTGTAGTAGCTACAAATCTCAACTAAGACGTGAACTCAGTTATAACTGGAGCAACTTGACGGAAGATAGCTGCTTGATGACCAGGATGCTAAGAATGCTTTGAAAGAACGATCGGTTAGATAGTTTGAGGAACATAAGAATGGTGCTTATCCTGTAGAAGCCTGATATAATCTCTATCTTACTTTAAAGCGGACATTGCTAGTCGTTTATATAGCCTATGTTCAGCTACCAGATAGGATATCCCTCTGGAATGGTGTCCATTAAGGGTGTTAATTGTTCCCATTTCTATATAGCATTGTCATAGGCGTGCCCATGTAGGTCTCTGTCTCCTCGTTTGACTCTATAGAGATTTATCTTGTCAGAGAAAACTCCTTGGTAGATCTAGGGCACACAGATGACATGGTCCTATTCAATGAAGATGCAGACAAGATGTTGGGTCTTTTGAACATCATGAGTGGTAGTCAGAGAATGCTTGGGATGCATTTCTCAGCACACAAATGCGAATTCTTACTTCAAAGCTCATCTGAGCTGGTGCCTCATTTAATAATATGGAATAAAGTTCTGCGATTAGTCTTGATATGTCAGTGGGCGGAGAAATTTCTGCATGGATACAAAAGGCCTAACTACCTTTTGCCGGCAAGATATTCTATCGTTTGCTGAAAGTCAAATGTACTACATAGCAATGAGCTCTGTTAGACTATCTGGCTGTGAAACATAGCCATTAAGTGTTATTGCTTGTATGACACCGTCGTTGATTGGACCGAATTGATCAGTCTCTGTTGGCATATGGGCTCCTGTGCGGATGCCTGCCCATCATTACTATAGCCATTAAGGTTGTATCAAATAAGTTGGCTTCGTTTTTTATCACTGTTACGTTCTTAGCATCTACTGCATATCTTGAAACCTTTATCTACGGCATATATATATATATATATATATATATATATATATATATATATAAGACTTATTGAATATGCGTCAAACTGAGTTCATATCCATCTATATATGCACATATACATTGACTTTTTCCCGAAACCATCACCCTTATACAAGTGGGATCACCATAGGATCACTTCATGAGAGACATGGAAGCTAGGTATAGGATTTTGGTTAAGATGTACATCAGTTGGTGTGGTTGTAATGCTTCATCTACTGGTGGCTAGGATGAATATTACGCATACCTAGTCAACGTCTACCCCATCACACAATATGTTAGCTGAAGTAGGGTTAGTTTGGTAAAATGTTAATATTGACCAAACTAAAACCTCGCCTCAGTCCAGTCCGTGACTATTGGTCTGAACCATGTAGGGTGTGTGGGCGTACATTTTGAACCCTATGAGGTAACCAAAACAGATGGTTGATGACTAAGTAATAGGCCTCAGAATCAATCTCAGTGGCACAGATGTATCCACGACTTATCTTCATATTGATGGTTGTATAACATTCTATCTGATTTAATCCCTTCTTTTCATCCAATAGCTTTCTATAATCTTCAATTATATTATTTCCATTTACTTAACTTTCTACTTGTTGTGGGGTTATGAGGCGGAGCAACCTAAGCCGTTACGTAGCACTTGATTTCGACTGACTGATTGACTGATTTCCTTCAAGAAAGAAAATCATAATTTTCATTAAGTGATTGATTTCTATTGAATCCCAAAGCGTAAACTATTGTATACCACTGTTTCTAAACAATTTATTCCTATGTATTCACTACTCAAAGTATGGTAGCAGCTTCTTTATGCACTTTTCTCGTGTGGTAGATTTTGATACCTAAAACAAGTGAGAACTACGCACCCATTTTTAAATCTACGTATGTTTAATACTGAACTCAATGTTGTATACCATCATTTTTATTCAGATTTTTTAAAATCTTGATTAACACAACTGTTTCATGTGGTAGTGTTTACCTTGTGGATGACAATATCTAATGTTCTCTAACCTTCAATAAACACTTATCAATAAAATAACTTTAAATTTTAACAAGCATTTGCATTGTTTAAAGCAAAAATAACAATTCTGCATAGGGACTAGGGTATTCACCTTACGATTCCACCACTCGCCTGATGCTAAATTTGGACAAAAAACTACTGATCACTAGGTAGCTTCGTAGGGTTACGACGTCAGTGAGTTTACCACTCTTAGTAAGTGTAACTTGGATATTCTCTCTAATAACGTGGGAAATGTTATGCTCTTGGAAATTTACCTATCACTATTCAAGTTATATGAGTTATGCTAATTCAGAATGACAACTGTTCTCATTAGTAATTTGTTTACTGATACCTTTCAGCACGTGGATAGACTTCAATTGAAACCATTTCAGTTACTGGTTTGTATCGTCCATGCTATCCACCGATGAAGTTAGGTAATGCAATAATCTCTGGTAAAAAGATAGTTCCAGATGTTGCACTGGATTTAATCAGAAAAATAACACTTACCCTCATTTTAACCTTAAGAAAAGAATACATGTCACCTTATTTATTAATAGAAATGAAATATCTTTTCTCCTTACTTTCAACTTAGTTGACGTGGGCTGCTGAATATTCTGCTACGGGAAGTCGACGTTTAACATTGCCCAGTCGTAACAATTTCTTTACTCGTGCTCTTATTGAGGAAGTTGACTTGCCACTGGGTTATGCATCGTGTATCACAGATTTTCATACAGGGTTCCTGTTTTGCCCACCAGTTAACCGTGCATACGATCCTCTAGGCGCAACATTCACAAGTCCCGATTGGCGTGGTCTTATTTCTTCCCGACTACCAAGTGTAAAACGTGATCCATCTGTCTTGGATACTCATAAATGGGGTCTTATTGAACAAGAATTGCTGGGAATTGGTCCATATGGCTTGTTTTCGGAACTTCGTAAAGCTATGAAATCGCCTATTTGGTGGCTTAAGCAAATCGGTTTCAATGTGAATAATTTTCTCACAAAGTTTGACACATTTGACGGCAGTATGGAGAGTAATAGTAGAAACCCTTTGAAATGCGGATTACCTTTATTTCCCATTGACATTACATCCACTAATTCAATTGGTCATACTCACAATCAAGTATATCAACAATTAAATAGCAAACTTGAACGTCTCAGTATGCTTGGATCGAGTCGTTTAACCCCGGGTGGATCATATGGCAGTGGATTATCAAGCTTTCTTCTTGACCCAATGGATGTCAATGATGAAATGGCTTTACCTCTGTTGCCTGCTAATACAATGTTTGGACCTGAAGTAAGTGTGAGGGATTTTGTTTTCTTTGGAGATTTCCTTATATATATATATATATATATATATATATATATATATATATATATATATATATATATATATATATATATATAATATATAACTCAAATTCACATGAAAAGAAAAAGCAAGGGATAACTTTGACATCAGTGCTATGTGCATATGAAAACGTAAACCGTTTCATCATGGTATACTAACTACTGCCATGCTTCGGGAGCTTGTAACTACTCGAAGTTTATCGATTTCGTTCCCCATTGTGAACACTAAGCTGCATGGATAAATGCGCATTATATTTGGTCGCTTTCAGGTAGTACTCGTCACCAAGTTTTAGGTCATCGATGCACATTTCTCATGATGGTAAAATATTCTTGACAACATTTATGAAATTCAAGATGATCGATCATCTCTGGATAATTTCCACTGCAAACCATATCAATTGTATTTCATTCCATACGAAATGGACTAGTGTGTATGTATATGTGTGTATCAGAATAGGAACTTCCAGGAGTTATGAACGCAAACTGATAGAACAAATCCAAAACGGTGTCACTTAGTTCAGTAGTCAGCTTTTTTGGGCTAGGCACAAACCAGTCTCATAGATTATATCTGAGGCTCCATAGAATTTGTTAAATCCTCCTCTCTGTCTTTCTTTTACAAGGTTGGCTATTCAGTGGGTCATAATGGACTGGTTGAAGTAGTTGCAGTTAATCACTCTCAGCCGGTTAGCAATCCCTATCAATTCAAGACAACAGATAATTTATTGGCAACAAAACTTGCCTCTATACTTATCTCAGGTACAAATCTTGTAGATTGGTGGAGTTATTCCAAGTCATCTTTGTCGTCATCTTCAGCACCAAAGTCACCACAAGCCTCTTCATCGTCATCAGAACTGGATGATAAACTTTTTATCCAATTATTTGTATCTCACAGAAAAGATTTTCAGACTACATTTAAACAATTGACCACACTGGGATTCAAGTTACCGGTGTATAATCCAATAATTGGTATCAATCTAACAATGATGATCACAAATGATAAGCATAAAGAATTATGGCTAACACGATATAACTTACAATGGAGGATAAGATATGCCAATTCAGCATCAGATTCATGGTCCAATCTTATTAATTCAACTATTGATAATGCTAAAGAACGCGGTGAAATGTTAGCTTGGTTGAATGAAGCAAAATTAATTCAACAACTACTCTCAACACCAACTACATCTTCAACATCAACAATGGATAACTTTATGAATCTAAATGCAATCGTTAATCATAAACTGACTTCTAAGTATATACTAGGATTTAACTATCCATGGAATAGATATGAAGTAAACGAATTGGCGCAAAGTAATTTCGTTGCAAATTATCAATGGATTCCATCAGTGGACATCTTACATCACTCATTATCCCCTTCCGCCTTTTCGTCATCGTCATCTTCACCTTCTGATACTTCTTCATTGTGTAGACTGTACGATCATGCTAGTATGTATCAGATAAGGCCAAAAGAATCAAACAAACACGAGACGAAAACGTGAGCAGTGAAATAGAGCTTTGGTATATTTAACAATCAGTATTTTACAAGGTTAGCCTAGTACTCACACTGCTTATTTATTTGTTTGTACTACTCAGTTGGTCAAAAGATTTTTTTAGATCTAACCAGTATTGCGATGCGGTTTTGTTTTATCACTATGATAATGATTTTGGATACATGTATTTTCCATACTTGCAGGTCACCACCAACTGAGGTGAACGCAACATTTTATATTTTCAAGTGACTTCAAAGGTCACCCTGACAACTACTGAGATAGCCAATTATATTTCTGTATTTTATGAAAAACTATCTTCCGCCCCCCCCCTCCACCGGAATACCGAAAACTGACTGGTTATTTGAGCAGCGGTTAGGGTAGCCTTTAAAGTCATCTGTATTTCCCTCCCTTTTACTGTTTGTTTTTTCAGATTCACAGGTGGTGCGTTTATGCATCCGAACAACATTTCCAGAATACAATAAACTACAAATATGCGAAAAAAGCCATCAAGGTTACAAAGTGTTAACAGTTAACTGGTGATTAACTTTGAACAATGACACTTGAACCAACAATAAGCAGATCGGAAGAAAACTTGTAAATATGGCTATAAAATGATGCTGTAAAACAAATTTCTAGTGAAATTGTCTTTTTAAATAAGCACAATAATTGGCTAAGATATACTTGGCCAAATCTTACTTCATCTTCATTTCTTTGGTCCACTATTACAAGCTCATCGCCATGAATTACAGTCTTAACCTGTAGTTAAGGAAATGTATCGTTTAATGAAATTAAAAATGCTTTCAATAGGTTGGCATTTGTTAGTTTATTAATTTCTTCAGCAGTCTATTCTCCAGTAGATGAACATAGTGGATATAAGTCTTGTTACGACCACCTTCTATTCTGCAGTTATAAAATTGCTATAGTGTTGACTATCGTTATGTTTTTTGTGCCGCCAGCCGTCCATCGACCTTTTACAATAGACTGTTGATTGCAATAGTTGACTGGTTTTGATGGTGGTGTTGTGTTCTTTCAGCTGAATAGTTTGATCGTGAGGCTTTCATTGTCATTCTAGACAACATCATCAGCATAAACTTCAGAAAGAAGTTGACTGTTTGACATATTCCTAGCACAGTTGATTTGTTAACATTGACTAATGATAATGATCATAATCGATATTGATGATGGTATTGGTCAAATGACTACTGCTTTCAATATTCACTATAGATTACATTTGTATTCCATGTAATTGTGTAAATAATAAACAACTAATATATGAGAGATATTGTGTGGGACTAGGATACGGAGTTTCAGCTATACATACATAAACTTTATGCTTAGATGACTACGTGATATGCATAAATGATACCTGAAGTGGTTTTATGCCCCCATTAAATATCAGAGATGTGTTTAACATGTGAGCAACAGCGACAAGAAGAATAAGACAGAGTACTCGGAGCAGCATGTTATCTATTAAGTAATGCATATTTCAGGAAGTTGCTACTTTACTTCTGAATGTTTTTTTATTCTGTGTTGTTGCTTTTGATTATACTCGATTAGACATCATGGTATGAGCTAGCTACTTGTAGACAAGTACGTGACTGTTGGCTAGACTACCTTGAGATAATAGCTGGTAAACTGATACATAAATTAGAACTAGACATATAAGCGAACAATTTTGTTCTCACTTAGATCTTCTTCAGGCTCTGCTTTAACATAAATTGCTAAATATGCATAAAAGTTAAACCAATCGTGTAGATTTGTAGGTTAATGTGATAAATGTTTTAAAATAACGATGGTGATAATAATACAAGTAATAAAATGATAACTTTGATTAATGTACCTGTAATAAAGATGATAATGATGATAAGAACCCAGAAAGCAGCATGAAAATGTAGACTATCTGATAATCAAAGTGGGTCAAAAGCTTGGAAAAATAAAAGTTACGTAAAAGATGAAGTAAGTAGATATGCAAAGTCTAAACAAATATAGTAACCGGACTCGAACCAGAGACCACTGGGTCTCCGGCTCAATGCTCTACCAACTGAACTGCGAGATGGAGCACTGAGCCGGAGACCCAGTGGTCTCTGGTTCGAATCCAGCTGCAGTCCAAACTTCCAAGTCTCCTTCAATCATCACGCAGCATCAATACTACTCGGCCAAACCATAGTCATCTCAGATAGTTAAAACCATAAAATATCGTAAGTATATGAAAGGGGTAAAGAATAAGAAAGGGGTATGAAAAATTTCAATGATAAAGTTGTTTAATAAGTATTCTTTGGCCAATGGAGACATAAGGGATGTACAAACTTCGTCTGGATACAAAGAAGAAGTGGCTCGAATTCGCACAGCTTCTGCTGTGTGTAAAAAACGAGTTCGAACACCTTTCGAAAGACGATGTCGTAGGCGGTGAATAATCGGGACAGCATTATTCTATCAACGAGATGAGACAAAAGAGAACTTATGATGGGCTTTATCTGTCCCTTTTCTAACCATGAAGGTGGATGCTCAGCAACACGTCTATTAAGTTGTCTAGTAGTACGCCCTATATAGCTTTCTCCCCAGGAGCAGCTAAACTTGTAAATACACATAGAAATGGAAAAACTATATAACTTATCTTTTGTCTGACCAGCAACAATTGGTCGACTGGAAAATGATAGACAAAGTTGTGCGGCGTAGAAGATCCTTTTAATGGCTCTAGAGAGTCTCTGATGTAAAACTTCTCTGGCCACATCCCCATTAAATTGCAATTTCATTAAAAAAAAGGTTTCTTTTGTATGGGAATAATTTCAGGTTTTTTTCCCCTCGTTTTTTATCCATTTGTCTTTTGATGGAACTGTTAGCAAAGCCCATTTTGATCAATGAGTTCCGAATACATTCTAACTCCTTGTTTATTAAATCATCCAAACATATTCTTCTCGCTCTGTTAGTGAGGCATTTAATGAAGTTTGCTTAGCACCGAAAGGGTGCGTGGCTAAGAAAATGTGTGTACTGACCTTTGGTCTTCCTGTAAATATATCTGCTGAGTGAACCATCTTCTCTTCTGCCTAGCGAGACATCCAAGAAGTATAGTTTACTTGCATTTTCTTCACAAGTGAAAGTGAGTGAAAGGTGCAACTCATTAAATTTTTATATATACTTGGCTATTCATATTAAATTAAAGCCTGAAGAGGATCTAATTGAAAACAAAATTGTTCGTTTATAAGTCTTTTCCTAATTTGCATGATGGGAACTCTTAAGACTGATATGTATATCCACCGTAGTGATGATTGAAACTGAAAGAAAACCTGAATTGTGGCAGAATTCGCATCAATAAATTTCGAGCTGCCTACGGCCTACTCTATTGACTGAGCTATGGGACGTGAATAATGAGCTGGTATCAGTTTCATTTCCATCATGTAGATAAACGAGACATAACTGTTTTCTGTCTACCACACTAATTGTAAGGCTATGTCTTCTTACTGCTGCTCAGTTTCTTCACAGTCTATTAACATCAACTGTTACAATTAATTGCTGTGAGATGAAACTTTCTATACTGGGTGATGGTTGGGAGTGGAATGAAAGTCTGAGTCGCGGTAAGATTCCAGCCAGCGGGTTAACAGCCCTGCTGTCTATCAACTGAGCTATGAAGCTCAGCCGTCGACCAGGTCTTTCCACCTCGAACCATCACCCAGCATCAATAACACCAGTCTGTCAAACCATGGCTTTCTAGGATAGTCTAGTTCAGAAGAGAATTTCTAATTGATTTTACTGATAACATCTTTTTAGTTGTTTCTATTGTATATTCTCAGGTGGGAAAAAAATCAGCTTAGTTATCGAACGCAACCACTGACTAGATTTCACGCTTACTTTGGTCACAAAATCTTTCTGGTGAGCTTGCAAAATAACTTTATAGTTCACAAGTAAAAGGTTACCTTTTATATTATCATCTTCTGCACATATCTGAACGAACACTGAAGATAAATAATTACTGGACAGACTTTTTTCCCATTCTCTCGACTTTTAGTGTAATATACATCTATTACCCCTATTATTTCCTACTGAACATAAGTTCATGTCTTCAAAACGACAATGAGTAATGCAACTCAATACGCTACATGTTTACCTACAACGCTATGAGACACACTTGTGAGGTTAGTGAGGTCAAAGTCTGGGAAGAGTGGTGTTCGAATCAGGAACCTATACCTTCTCTGACTTGGAAGCTCCACCAAGCATTTATTCCACAAGCTCAGTGTTCACCAAACAGAAGAGTTGTTTTCGGGTTTCATTGTAGAAAACTTTCACTTGCTGGGTAATCATGATGCAGTATTCTGGAAAAGGTCTGCAGTACAAACTAAGGTTTGAAAAACAGCTTTCAAATAACGAATTTATTCCCATTGGCTTGAAAGACAACATGCTCATTGTTGTAACTTATGATTTCGAAATCGGTTCTGTGACGCAAACCACTCAATCGTCAACGAGAAATTTCTGCTCTTACTCCAAATTCATCCGTCCTAAATGTTTCTCTTTTCAATTTAAACGCAATTCCTAAACGAAATAATTCACCTTCATGAGAAAGAGCTGACTCACGTTCTGTTTTGCTTGTTTTTGTGTTTTTTTTTTGAAAATAGATAAGGGAATAGAGGTGAAGATTGACGACTTCAGAATACTTCAGCACTACAATTATAAATTTATCTCATGCAATGCAATACAAAGAAGTATCCTATGTAATTGTTGGGTTAATGTGTATTATTTTATTTTTAAGCATTTATTTGACGGACTATATTATTCAATTTTCAACGTCTTTCACAAGTATTTACTACTTCTATTATATATATATATATATGCAGTTAGCCTTTCTGAGTTTAGTTCTACGTTTTTTTTATACGACTACAAATAGGTTTCATTTCTACCTTGTGCATAACTTTGGATTGAGAACTCATACTTAACTTCATCTGACTGTCGTCTTAGTTGTCTTTGTGTTTTGCCTTCCTTCACAACTATGCAGAAATCATGTTTTTTTTCTCCTGTTCTCTTCTGTGTGATAGTTGATCGAGTGCTTAATTTTAAGAAGACTACGCTTTTTAACTGCTCTCTGCGATACTAATATGATGCAGTAACGTTTGTCTCCACCTCCTTTACCGCTTGCTTCTTCAGTGTTATAGTCGGTGTTTTCTTCTTTTTCGAGAGTGTTCAACCACTTGACAAGCCTGTATAATTCTTCGAAACATTGGTCTATTTTCCAGTATTGTGTTTGTTCAGTGGACACATATGCTGTACACATGTGTACAAACAAAGGCAAATTTATATTTTTTTATTAAAAACGCTGATTTTTTTAAAAACCAACATCATTTTACTGTTATTGTTATGACTATTTCTATCGAGGGTAATGATTAAAATAATAAGTATAATGGTAGTAGTAGTTGTTGTTGTAGTAGTATTGCATGCAGTGTTTTTCTACCTGTTCTTTTTTACTTCTTTGGAATTCAACTACCGAATCACTTGTCGGGCCTTCAGAGAGACAATATTTTGCTCCTGTTGATTACTGTCGCTTTTGTCTTTTCTTCCTATAATTCATCTCGTGTGGTGCTGTTGTGACTGGCTTTCTTGTAAAAAAAAATGTATCATCTTTACTTCTCTTTGCGGATACGTGCACACAGTCGCATCCAGGCAATCACACATATGCAGTATACTTTTGTCACGTAGAAGTGCAGTGAATGTAATAGGGATTTTCATGTTTTACCATCTATTGATTCATCCGGTTACATTTCCCCTTGCTGTTGCACAAGCACACAGACACGCAAACGTACAGTTATTCTTTCTCTTGTCCTACCCATCCCACGACAGTCTTAACATTCACTTAAAAACAAAGAATTCTTTGAAATGATCAATTTTTAAGTGTATAATTGCATGATCTCAGTAATAACTCTTTGTATTTCTCTCATTTATGAATTCTTTTGTTTGTTTGTTTGTTTGTTTGTTTTCTACCTTTGCGTGCGTGCGCACAAGTGAAACGCCTCTCAAAGCCAAAGGAAACGCATCTGATAAGACAGTTTTCAGCTTCATTTATTTGCTTGTGAATATTTTCATCATTGTCATGGACGCTGTATTTCAACAAATGGTGATATATGCATGTATCGGTGTGGGCTTTTCAGTAATTATCTACTAACAATGGGACTTGTCTCCATACTTTTCAAGTCTTTTCAACTTCTTACTTCTCCTTCCACTAATTATTTCCTTCTTTTACATTCATTGTCGATCATTTTGATATGATGAATAACAATACACATACAAGTGTCTATGTGCTCCTCTGGAATTAGGGAATTGCTGATCCTAGTCTCGTTTCCCGCTTTTCTTATCCTTAGTCTGTCTCAGTTTGTGTTAGCTTTTTTTAAGGAAAGGGGAGGCAAAAGAAAGAGAATGCAACTTGTATGAAAATGTTTTCTGTCTTTCTATTTTTGGTTTCTTTCTTTGTATTATTGTGTGTATATTACGCGACTATTTAATATGAAGACTGTTATTTACCCAAATAGATATCATAAATGGTTTGCCTGATTTTTAATTATATGAACTATTTAACCATGATGTTGATAGAATCAAATAATAATAATATTTGCACAGAAATAATCCTGTTTTTGGCATTCAGTAACCAGGTCATCTGCTGTTTTACCATGAGGGTCTTTCCTTTCTACTGAAAAGCCTTTATTAGTGTGACATTTCATTCAGTAAGAGTCACTGTTACAAAGCCTCTCGAATGATGGAGTCGTGTGTTGTCTTTGTATCAGTTTCAGGCGCCCATAAGTTCATCTATGGGGGAAGGGATAGAGATCTGCTCAGGAAACTCACAACCACACCTGAATCCTATATGTTTTTCTCTCGCTTACTATTCCTAAACTCCACTTATGTGTTAGTTGTTTATCTAGCCTTAAATACTAAAAACTTTGTCACAAGTTGGATTCCAAAAGCGATATTTAAGTGCTGTTGCTGTGTGCGTGTGTATGTGTGGCTCAGCTTCCCTAAAGAGCTAAAGAAGCGTTATTCAATACACTCATAACGGAAACAGATGAAGCAAATTCACTATCCCTATCACCGGATCTACATTTTTAATCTGCATTGCAGTTGTTATGTACAACAGATGGAATACTTCTTAGCAGCACCATGCATACTAATGTTATTTCTGTGCTTATTTCTAGCCACGGAAAAGTATCAGCTTAGATAGATAACTGACCAGAGCACAAAAGAAAAAATACTGTTTTACAGATTGGTGAATGAAATTTCTGAAAAGAATCTCTTCACTAAACCACTTGTTTTCACTTTCTTATTAAAAAAAGAAATTATCAATATGAAACGTCTTTTTTTCGTCATTATAGGTGCCTTTAATCCATGGTGAACGCACCTGACAGACTATTAAAAAGTGCAGTTCTCATTGCTAAAAACCACCCATCTCACTTAAATACTGAGTGGAATGCATAAAAAAATCAAACTACAGTAACCATTAAAACAGTGGGGTTCGGATAGTCACTTCGTCTTATCTTTTGATCCTCAAGTATTATACTCACTATCAATCTTGTCAACGGCTACAGATTCAATACAACGCTATTAATTTACCAAGCGTTGATTACTTTTGAGATAGTGCACAACGAGAAGATAAGATAGGCAAATAAATCAGCATAGAAATCACATAGAACTGCATAACTTCAAGTTGCCACACTTCACAGCAGCATGCTTAGAAGTGGATGGAAAATGTATGATATTAAAGTAGACAAAAATGTGTGAGAGGAGAAAGAATAATTCGATAAATGTTTATGAAAATATATTACCAACAATTTCCACCCGTTGACAGCTTTCATCTTGATGACTCTAGTCAGGTTGTCTACACCTTTCGGCACTGTTCAAACCAACACTCCGAGTCTTCATGAACTGGTGCTATCCCTTGTTTGATTATCCTTTGCCTTATTTCAAGCCAACCATACTTTGGCTAACATGATGTCTTTAGGCAGTGAGCTGCTAGGAGTGCGCAACATATGTCCAAACAACCTCAGTCGATAAAGCTTTACAACCTCACCAACTGACTTGCCTTCTTTTCAAGAAGACAGTGCAATCTAAAGATGGAAACTCGAAGCAGTCTTAAAATTCATTATAACTTACGGATATACCAAAAACGCTACAAAATATAACATAAGTAGTCCACTGTTGAATGTAAAATATAATCAAGAATAAAAGATAGATATCATCCATTAGCCAGCTGGTGGATTATAATATTGAGTGCAAGGTTAGATTGCTAACCAATACATATTCAGCTGTGGACAGTGATGGGGCATCAAAATCGGTGCAACTATTGCCAGTCGTTGACAAAATTAACCTTATGAAAAGTACAAGGAATAAAAAGTGGTATATTCTGTAATAAAATGGAATGTTCAGCAACTCAAAAAACCTTAATTACTCTATCCTATCGATACCCTTTCGATTATTGTTGAATTATACATAAATCCGTACAAAGATTCAAGTAGCCTCAAAGTTATGCTAGAAATTTAGTCCACAAACTCGAATCAACATTAAAGACTTGATGGTTATATCGATTAATATTTGGTGACCAATTCGTGTAAATTATTACTTACGTAATTGTACATCCTATTTTGATGATAATTAGTTATTTAAAGATTAAGAAAAAAAGGACACGACGTACAGCAAATTATTCGACTATCTTCAATTTCATTAACGAAAGTGATGTGCAGTAAAAGATTGTGTGTGTACTTTCCTAAGGTCATTTCAGGCACTATTTAAATAAGCTCTCAAACTACTTCACAACATCTTTTCTCCTAACTAATAACTTAGATAGACTCAGTAATTTTTCACAAAGCCAATATGATCACATATCGCCATTCTTGCCAGGTAAATCAGGAAAATAGCATTATCCGCATCACTGAAAGCTGAGAAATTCTTCAATTATAATGATTTCCGTTGCTTAGTATTGTGATAACTAATCGCTTTCCATGCCTTTGAAATTTGCTCGTAAATTGGTAACTTCATAGTCGATCACTAACTGTCAGTTTCCGCTAGAGAGATGACTACCAACCGATGGGCCATGGGTTCGAGCCCCGCCCTACCCATCGAGGTTTAGGGAGCCAGGTAGTATCACTAGCCCTCACATAATAGGTGGGGCTCATTGCCTACTGCACGAGTGTGCACAAGGTTGTTGAGTGTATTTCAAATTCTTGAAGCTATACATTTCTTGACTGTAACCACCTCCGATACAGTTTATTCATTTTCACCTTTCAAATCGCATAAAAGGAAAGGTGGTGGTTGGTGTGAATTTTTATCATGGATGATTACTGCCAGTGCTTTTAGTTTCTTAATGCCTCCTACTTTAAGATTCCTTACTTTATCTCAGTTTTAAATGCTTTCCCAAGGTGTTTTTTGTCTAAAACACCAAGATACCTCTCAACTAGGCGTTCATTAACCATATTTTTGCGTTGAAATATCTAGTCATCGTGAGACAGTCATCATAAACAGTATTTTCTCATATCTCCATCCTAACCGGTAGTTCTAAACATTTGTAATGTGAACGAATACGTAGAAATGGGATAAATTATTCCATAAATAGGATGGTCAATTTGCAAATGATTGACAAATTGCACAGTTC